GACGCGGAGAAAAGGAACTCCTTCGAAGGATTTTCGGTCTCGCAAGCCGCAACTTTGACCCTATTTAAACGATCGGACTGACCGAAATGTAGACCAACGGTTATCAAACGTTTTACGACACGGTTGTAACATTTATTTCCCTAGTTCTCCTTCGAAATAGCCATTGCGAATAATCGGGTCGCAAATAACTCTGCTTCCAAGAAATTGCACTTTCACCCTTCGCGCTCGAGCAAAAGGTGAAAAGGGTCCTGTCGCGTGAAACAATGGAGGCATACCTCCTGCGGAGGATTGCCGTTTCCGTTTCGGCCGTTTTCACCGAAGGTCTGGTGTAAAAGTCGAGAAAGTAAAGCTCGTTATTTGGGGTTTATTGATAGTGATTTATAATCAGGTCGTTTGAAAAATGTTTGCGTATTTTTTCAACCCTACCGTCAGGTAACCGACGATTCTATCGAGCTTCCTGTTCGGTTTTCGCGAGGGAAAAAGAAGATAGTAATGTTGGAAAGGCGATTAATAAAGTCGTCCCTGAGATATCCCGTGTTGGCTAGTGATTTTTCGAAAGGAAACCGAAAGAAGGATGAAGAGAAAGAAGAGAAGAGATGGCGAGGAGTCGGAGCGGCTGTCCTTGGATGCTCGCGGATCGGTGGCCAACAGCAGTCAATGACCTAACAACGCCTCTTGTATCCACGTAGCTTGTTCACTCGCTTCGGTTCGCCTCGGCTCGCTTCAGCTCGCCTCGCTCGGCTCTGCAAGCTCACCTTCGAGTTTGCCTCGACAAAGACAGAAGATAACCAGCAGGTTTTCTCTTCAGCCTCGAAGGGCCCCGGCACTTCGAGGCTCATTACCTTTTCTTACCGATATTTCTGACCGACTGTGCCTCTTCGATTCCACTCCCATACCGCGTGTCCTCGCTTCTCCGCTTAAGGGATGGCATTAACTTTAATATCTACACTTGACGTCGAATCAGGCTTCCCCGTACGTATCCCGAGGGAAGGGCGGAATTCGAGACAATTCGAATACACTTCGTACCCCCCCTGGGGTGGTTGATGAATAGAAACAGAAGAAGCGCGGATGGTACGCCGAAAAACCATGAAAACGGAAATGCGTGTAGCACGAACGTACGACGGCCACGGAATCACCGTAACCCTGCTCGTTGCTGCTCTTCCCATGACCCGAATTGCATTGTGCAAACGCGCTTCTATTCATGTTCCTTCATTCTTCTCAATCAATACCCGCGTAAAAGGCACATGTTATTTTTGTAAATTGTAGGATACGTGACTACCGAAACAGTCACGTGTGTCACGTTCATTCTTTCGATCGGAAGTAACTTCGAAATTAGAGAAAAAAAAAAAATTCTTATCGGATTCGATTTTCATAGTTAATTCGATTTTCCACCCTCCTCGCGGCAGATGCGTGCCTCTTTCGGGACAGGAAAATCTGGGTCGTCATAATAACGCTGTTCACGCCAGGAACTTGGCTGAAAGGGGTTCGAGGTATATTTCAACGGCGGAAAAAAAGGGGATCGTGAATATTGAATGGGTTCGTTTTCTATGAACCCACGAGTTTTCAATGGGCACCAGAACCGTATCCGCGGCTACGAGAAATGGATCAGTTTCGTGAGAAAGAAAAATCTCGATCGTTCGAAAACACTGAATTAACGATGAAACGGAAACGAGCATATATTTCATGCGACTTATTTTCATCCTGGTTAGATGAATCGAATACAATCCCAATATTTGTCTACTCGTTTCTATAGTAAGAAAGAAGTTTGCCAACTCTTTCTTAGCTTTTAACTAGCGGATTATTCCACGATCATTGGGACACTAATGGTGGTGTTTGTGGGTACTTGAAGCTGGACGTTCAGCATTGAAATACAATCGGGATTACGATGCCCGGATTAAGATGGGGTTAACCGAGCTTCCAATAGTGACTTCGCATAATTTACAATAGGAATTCGTTGAAGAGGTTATTTAGAAAAATTAGCGGTCGAACAGGAGTTAAATGGGAGCTGCTGTTTGGGACTCAACCCTTTAGAGGTTGCTTTATCTTCTCCATCGAGCAATAGCGCGCCCTTTAAGAGGGACCAGTCGTCGATGCATTGCAACCTGACATCCTTTGCTATTCGAACTTTCAATGAGAACTCCTCTTCTTCATTTTCCCTGTCAATGAACGCTTGTTTTCAATGGGACAGGTTGGTCCTGATGTATTGAACTGTTTTGGGTATATTAGTTCTTTGTAATAAAAAAGAAAAATTTGCAACCATAATGGCGTTAATGGGTTAATAGAAAATGGAAGACGAATGGTGCAGAAGGGTTAACGACACGTTGTTCGGACGACATCCAGGTGTTAGGCTAATTATCCTAAAATCACGTCGAAAAGTTGCACGATAGTTCTGGAAAGTTACGTCACATCCAGAAGGTACCTTTCTGGAATTTATAACGGAACTCGATTTCGTCATTCAAGATTCCGTGGTCGCTCGTACGTGCCAGGTTTATTTATAGAAATACGGTTACGATCATCTTTTCCACTGGACATCACTGGCACAGATGATCCTTCCCTAAAACGGTGATAATTACCTACAAAAAAAATTGTAGGCTCCTCAGTTGGAAATTTACCTACTTTTATTGATTTCTTTCAAGACGAAGTTAAACGAAAGTTTTTGCCAGCGTGAAATTAATAAGGCTCCCGAGAAGCCTAATAGCCCTATTCAGCTAAGAAAATCACCGCGTTACAAATTAACAAAAGGATAATTGCGACCTCGAAAATTAGCCGTTCGTTAACCGGTTTGTTAATGATAATGGAAGGGACTGGATATTGTACGTTCTCGTAAAAAATATTGATGTAATAATAGACGGTTCGAGATGATGGTTGTATACAACAGTTTAAACAAAAGAGAAAAGTTTTACAATAATGATTGCAAAAAATAAAATAGACGATTTACTCAACACCTGTTTTAAAAATCAAAGAATTAAATCAGTTGCATTTCAGGTGCATAATTGCACTTACGAAAGAATTGCAATTTAAAATTTTGTTGAAATGAAATGAAAAAGATATGTATCGTGTAAAGTTTCGTATGCAAAAATGTCGATTTCCCAGCAACGGATACCCATTGGATCGGTCGAAACCGATCGTTCCCTTTTTCCGTACCGTCGATCGGTCTAGGACGAAGCTTTCCCACAAGGTGTGTCTATGGGATGTGGAAGAGAAATATCGAATATACGGTAAGGTGCTACTGAACAGCGAAGCATAACTCGAACCACCTGTCCCTCTCTCCCACGCTTCTATTTCGATGGACCCATAGATGGATGGATGGGTTCTAATACGAGAGCCTTGCTCTACGATCCTCGAGGTAGGGCACGGGAAAAATAGATCTACCCTCCTTTACTCCCCCACCTGTGTCCTTTCTTTTCCATTAATCTAGGACAAAGGAAGGAAACTACGTTGGAAGGAAGTCGGTTATTCCTTCTAGCCTTTCTTCGACAACACTCGATTGAATTTCCATCTAAATTCGTTTCGTGAACAATGTTCTTTGGGGTGGAAAAGGGGAGGTATAGGTTTAGTTGCGAATCAAGCGTTCTAGTTTTGAAAAATTTCCCTTCGAGCAATCGTATACCTGCCTGTTTCTCATCGACGCTTCCGTAAACCTGGTAATATATATAGAGGGTAATAAAACAGTATTTTCTGAGGCAACCCTATACAAGAACGTAAAAGAAGGGAACGAATGGACGATGGTGTCCCGTCGACAATTTTTAAGCCTTGCCTACTGTCGAATAACGGAATCGGTGGTTTTTTTTTTTCTTTCTGACAATATAGTTTTCGTGGTCCTAGGAAATCCTCAATACTTTATGGGGGTCAATATTCTTCAGTGGCCAACGTTGGCGGAAAGAAAATTGCTCTAATGTAAAAGTTTTATTGCCCTGTTTGTTCGTGTCCAGCGGTTTTCAATTTATATTTCCAGGAAGTGTTAGGCCCTCCCTGTCTCCTCGTTGGGAGTTTATAAAAATTTACAAAATTTTGATAATTGCACAATACAAAATACGTCACAGTGGATAATGTAACGAGTTACGTAGGTTAATGAGAATAATTATCTTTCGGTGCCATTAGTGGACTGGATGATTATCGTCTGTGAATCAGTCTACTTTCGAAATGCCAAGTACAATTAGTCAAGTACAATCACGGCAAATAGTATTACTCAACTTACCTGAGTATTTTATTTCGATTATCTACATGAGAATTAATTAGCCCTACTTATAATTTCACAAACAAAAAAAAAGGAGTCCCCTTTAAAGAGGCGTTCAACCGGCTTAAGTTTAAACAAAAAATTGACTTCGCTTATGGGGTGCTTAACTTTTGGTTTCCGCGTAGCAGAAAAACCACGTTCTTCGTAACGAGCTTTGATCTGAACATCGGAAAAGGAATTTGAAAAAAATCGTGACCAGCAATGGACATCGTAGCGACGTGGCTGAAAAAAGCTGCGAAAAAAAAAGTTGACTCCGGCTTGCAAACACGAAAGGATTAACTCGAAGCAGGTAATTCACCGTGAAGGGTGGTTTACGACGTGTTCGAAGGGTTAAGAATCCAAGAAATTGTGGATTACCCTTTGAAATCCGCGACCCTGCCCATCCTTTTTTCCAAATGCAACGAAACTCGAGGATTAGCCAGGAATCCTAGGAGGAGTCGATGCATTCTGTAAATATTTGAGGAGACAGTAATTTCCGGGTTGTTCGTAAACAATATCGTAAAATAAGGATTTCGTAAACGCAAACGTTCGTTGTAATATTTCCATGGAATTTAATATCCGCTCTATGAATAATGAACAAAATTATTTTATGGAATTACAAGTGTATGGAAAGATTGAAATTTCCATGATTTCATTGGAATCTCTTGGAATTATTTTCACGATATGGAAGAATATTTAAAAGATTCTAGAATTGCCCAGTCACGATTTACGATGGAAAAAATGACATAAAAATACCTAAAGTATGTTATATTTCTTTTTTCAGACGGTGCGAACGAAGGGGTTTATGGCATCGTTCAGAAGTCGAAGATAAAAAAGAAAAATGTTCAATACATTTTCCAACGGTATGCTGAAAATTCTCGTCATTAAAGGTAAGCAAAAAAAAAAGAAGGGTGAAAGTACGAGGGACTAAAGGATTAAGTCGATTATCGTGTCTTTAAGGAGGGTCGTGTTTTTTAGTGTTATAGAGGGAAGAAGGAAGGGTTGTTTCTGCAAGCAATAAGTCCACAAACGTTGATTTACCTATGATGACCAAAAGGACGGTACCTTTCCAACGAATTCGTCGAATCCCTTAAACTGAACAAAGGTAAGTGTTGTAAAATCACTTCGATCCTGATTTTGCATAATTTATTTAACCGACACCCTATATGTTCATGCAAAACGAGCGTCTGGAAATTATGTAAACCCAGAATGGGAACAATGACTTTACTCTATTCAATTCTGCAAGATCGTTCAATTATAATTAACTTTTAAACAATACGAGGGACGATAGGGTTAACATACGTCTTCGACGAGGCACAATGATATAATGCTTTCGACAGAATAACAATTAGTGGTTAATGCAGCGTGGACGGTATGCAGAATACGGTGGCGTCGTTTGTCCCATTAGACGCTAAATTGACCTGGCCATATTTTACGATGAAAACATAATTGCTAGATAGTACAATTGTAAAACAATTTCTTCGATAAGCCGGCACTATTTATAAACTAAAATTTTCTCGAAAATACGAAATCATCTGCTACCGTTTTATTTGATTAATCGAATGAACCGTCGCATCGCGCGAGGTGTCGATGATTCAGCAGTTGTAGAGAAAAATAGTTACGCTAGCGGTGACTTCATAGTGTTAAGGAGTTGGAATAAAAAAAAAAAAAGATTGATGAACGGTTCTGAAAGAAAGGAAGACCGCAAAGTCTGGCGATTGTCAGACGGTACAGAATGTATCCTTGGATCGTTGCTGCTCGTTCGTCGTCCTGTTGGTCGGTTCACTGACACCGGTCTACCGTCAAGGAGTCCGCCACTGTCAAGGTCCGCCGGTTCTCTCCTCTGTCACGCAATTTACCTACGGTAATCGACACTCTTTACCGCGAAGGACGCTCCTATTTTCCTAATCTCTCGATCGTTTCGATCATTCCCCTCACGCGGATACATAATTATCAAAATATTTAATTAGGTACCAGACACTGTCGTATCCTGACCATGGCCTTTTATCTAAATTCTTCTTCTAATTCCTTGACCATTATCTCGTCGACCGTTTAAATTTCCAGATGGAACTTTGATAAAAAAAGATTTAATTTGCATACTTCCAGTTCACAGCGTTTTTACAATACCGTCATGGTGTACAAAGTGAATCTGTGTGAAAGGAATTCAGCAATCTCATTCGGTAGCGTAAGAAGTGGCGTTTCGACAGAAAACGACGAAGCATCTGTAAGGAACATATGTTACAACCCGGAAATCAAAGCCACAGAGTATGCTTTTTCATCCAAATTCATCTTCTGCATTCTCTCGACGTCTGTGCTTTAAACACACCCCCGATGGAGCCCTTTTTTTTCCGAGCTCCTTTTATAATTACCCCCGTCCGAGATAAGATGGTCGAACTACTTTTGAAAATCCACCGCCTTTCACCTTCGTCTTCCATATGGTCCAACCCTTTTGAAAATAATTAGTAATATCGTCTAATTAACACGCTTCAAATTGAATAATATTTCCAAATATCTCAGATAGTAGAGCTTGAAAGCGTTTCACGAAGAATCTTGCATCAGGTAGCAAAAGTCACGGTTCGAAGTCCGATCGAAAGAAGGATCGTTCGCTCGCACTTTCTTTAAACATCCCTTCCGTATATATTCGAGGCAGCGACAATGGTGAGCTTTAAATCGTCCCACACGTAGAGTATACATATACAATCGGTACCGCAAGTTCCAGAGACACGACTTACTTGGTTCACTTTTGCTGGTTAACGGTAAGCCCGTTGAGGAGTCAGTGAGTCAACGAGTCATCCGGGGCGAACACTGGTCCCCACGCACTCGCTCGATCGCTCGAGAATCGATCTTCTTATGTGCGCATGCACTTCGATACCTGTACGCATCTTTCTCTTCATTTTTCTTTCTTCACCCTCTGCTACGGTCGTCCTTAGGTGTCCGAGGAGTTTACGATAGAAAAATTATGACACCTTTCAAAGTGAAGGGGTTAAATTATTTTCCGCTGACACGCAAAGTTAATTAAAGCCCAAACAAGGCTGGAGAATAATGGCAGGAAATTTGAAAAGAAGACCGGCTAACCTGACCGTAGCAAGAACTCACCGAGCAAAGGATAACTGTATTCTACCTCCACTGGGTTTTGTCCTTCTCCCTTCCCTTACGTTTTATCAAACTTTATCTCTCGAAATTACGTACAGTTCTCGTTTAAGACATAATCGTATCGGTGGACGTCGCGAGAAGTAATCGGGATGGAGGAAAGAGAAACGTAACTGGACACTCGTCTGGCCAATGTGAAATTAACGGCGAATGACGTAAACGATAGGACTCACAGATGAGAGAAGGTCTGGCGTTTTCCATTTCATCGGTGCTGTTCGTACAGTTTTCCTTCCTAGATTGTTCACTTTTCACCTCGGTCAACGATTACATTACATCTTCTGTTGACGCTATCGAGTATCAGTGGATCCTCTAATCTTTGATGATGCTTCCTGTAAAGCAGGAACCTTTTCATTCGTCGAAGGCTTTCGAATTATAAGAAGCAAGGTGCAAGAAAAGTTGAAACGAAGCGGATAGTTGATTAACGTCCATCAAGCTCGACCGACCCAATTTCCGGATACTAACCCTACCCCTCCCTGAACGATGACGCAACCTGTCGGTGTGTCCAGGCTTCCTCCTCGTCCCCGACGTCCCCGTCTCTGGTTCGGAGCGAAGAAAAACCACGATCGAAGCATCGAAGTGACTCGAATGCCGTTCACGTTGTAACACGGCACGCAGGGGCTATAACCATACACACCTATTCAACTGGTAATAATTCGATGACAAGGCTCGAACCGTGTTCCTCGTTCGCTTCGTCGGCCATCTTGCTTACCTTCATCTTTCTTCCTCTTTCGATTCGCGTCCATCCGCGTGGTTGGTCGCGAACAACGCACACGCGTACGCTATGAACACACCGATGAAAGAGGTGGTGTTCTGTTGAACAGGCAAGACAAGCCACGGCGAGGCTGAGAGTGGGTTCATCGGACGCCAGCGGCCGCGGATTTACCGTTACCTTACGTCTTCTTGGCGAAACCCAGAGTCCACGGGTATTTCACTTCTTCTTCCTCCTCGACACCGGCACGCTCTTCTCTTCCTTATTCCTCTTTCGTTCCCTACGTTTCTGACTGCACGGCTGAATTCCAACGGTCAGCGAGCCGCGAGCCACCGGGAGAACCGGAAACGACACTGTCACCGACTAACAGATACGGGCAAGTTGCGAGAGTGTTGATTTTCCGGGTCACCAAACCACTCGTTCTTGCACCCCCTTCGCGCGCCGAGTGGATTATCGATTTTGATAACTGGACCCCCGTATGCGACACCGGCTAATTTGTTTCTTTGGTTCTGTAACTAAAATTCAGACCGATTCGAATCTTGTCGCAAACGCGATGTTTCGAAAAGGACTGATCTAAAAGTTTAGAATCCGAGTTCCATGAAATTTAAACCTCGAGGTATTCCCCGTGTCAAGGTTTCTTCGTCTCCTTAGTGACCTCCTTACGTCTCTTTAAGCTTTCATGGGTATCTTTCGTACGCGTTGATGGGGTCATCCCGATGTAAGATTCTAAGAAGGTTCGAGTATCTTTTTCCAAACGTTCTTTAGAGTGAGTTTAAAAAATTGCTCAAAAATACCCGGAATCGGCTCAGCGTAAATGGATAACCTTCGGGGCTATCAAATGTTAAGTTATTCGGAGAAAAATGACCAGTAGGAAGATGGCAACGAGGAAAGTCACGGATTTGTAGAAATCGGAGGTCGTTGTCCCCTCTGTTCAAGGTTCTTTCAGTCACGCGTAAGATTCTGTGCTCTGGCCATGTTGAAATCAATTTGACTTGGAGCGTGGCTGAAATAATCTGAAATTTTATTGGCGACAACGTCCGTAAATTCTTATCGTTTCTTTACGTCATTCATTACCGAGGGTGATTATAGCCGAAAAATCTTTTTCTAGCTGTTACGGTTTTCAACGTAAGATATGCTGGTTCACCCTGTACGAAGAAGCAGCAATTAACACATTCGCAGCCGCTGACGTAGTACTGCATCCTTTCATAAACCGTAACTGTTTGCTACTAAAGTTGCCATAAAATTTTGTAAATTTTACATTCGAAATATTCAAAACTAGTTTTAGCTTAAAGTTCGCATAAATTTGTTAATGTATTTTTAGCACAGAATTCATAAGAATTAAAATGAATTCTAAAAAGACACAGAAACTGCGAAAGTTGCAAAAATTGAAGAAATCAATATAATACACTAAATCTGATTAATACAAATAATAATTTTATTATAAATGTATATGTATACCTAGTACGTTACACCCGTATCGAAGGTTAAAGAACGATGTTAGAAGAGGAAAAAGTAAACTGGTGTTGTCAAGATTTTGTCGATGTGTATAGTGGATGACTGGACACGTGGAAAAGCAAGTCCAGCTTGTAAATTTATGCAATCCGGTCGATGCGTGGAAAAAAAAGGATTGGACCGAACGACGATTTACGTCAGCATCGACAAATAGTTGTTTCGTGTGTATTAAGAAGATATTTCTTCTGGGAACGGTGATGCTGGATGATCAGGTACATAGTGGACACGTAAGTGGCCGACAATTTTATAACACCTTGATCACCAGCAACTAACGCGACGAATTTAATTTACAATGCCATATATAAAATTCAAGTATTGATTCAAAAAATTAATTTTTTTTTTTTTTTTTTTTGTAAAAAGAAACGTAACTACGTTTACACGAATTACCTTTTAGAGGATTCGGAGAATCGACTGAAGAACATCCGCGGTTGTTCGTCGGATGAACGAGTTTCTGAGACGCGTTCTTCTCGGTAGAGAAGGCTAAGGCCACCTGTGCAGGGCCCCCAGCCTTTCTGCTTTACTTTCTTCGCGGTTCCGTTAAATACCCGACACCGAACGCGATCGCAAATCCAGGTGCGGAGGTCAACTTGCGTCAGGTTAGGGTACTCGTTTCCTCTGTTTCTCCCCGTTATCCTTACTTCTTTGTCACGCGTGCTTCGTTTCGACCAACAGGTGTCTCTATACATATCATTTTGATTCACCTTGAATATGGCACGAAATTTCAGAGCTTTGCAAATTTTTTCAAGTAGATAGTAGAATAGTTGCATAATAGGGTATTCGAATAACAGAATACTTGCATAATATTAAAATTATTTCTTTAACGTCGATGACTTGCGCTCGTTAAATAACAGAAAAAAAAAAGAAACGACAAGCGATAAGGTAATTGTAAGGCAAGTGTTTATCGAGGTTCGTGTAGGTTCCGTCGGTGTTTCTCGAGCAATACAAGCAGATGGACACCTTGAAGAACCGTTTCTCGCGCACTCGATACCGCTTGTTCGAGAGTGAAACCAGTTGTTCCGATTTCGATCAGACTTTCCTAAGATATCTTCATCTTCTCGTGTATTCTTCCTTTCATTTTTCATCACTTTTCCATCTTTACCGATGATATAATAACGAATCAAATCTGAGACAAGTTATCCTCACGATTACACTGAATATAGAACTTACAGTGAATTAATTTAATTCGATATTTTGTATCAAATTTTCTTTTGAATTTCCATGGAATTTCACGAACTATACCTTTCGTTCTAATCTGTTTTCTCGCGATCGAAATGGCGCACGAAGGAAACGTTTCGCGCAAATAAAACGCGAAACGGAGTCGTCGTAAATCCATAACGACGAGGGTGAAGAAGAAACGAAACTGTTCTCGGAACGGCGGAAGGGAAGGCGTAGGTTCTCGCGAAAAAATTATGAGAATTTCAGCGACTTTTACGATCGAGTGCAACGGGAAGGCAAATTCGATGTCGTCATGCTGGTACCCGCTGCCTTCCTAGACACTTTATCTATATGCTGGCTCGAGAGCACGATAAACCGATCGATTCAACGAAACGGGTCAACGTGCATCGCTTCCGGTACTGTTCTTTCTATCGAGACACTCTGACACGAAGGTTACGCTGAAAGTTTTGAGAATTTACCGATGAAATGAAATATTACGTACAACAGTATCAAAGTGATCCATATATCGGTTCAGCTTTCAATTAACAGGTACAAGTTATTAATAAAAACAGATTCATTGGTGTAACGAAATAGCAACAGTTCTTATCGGCCAATCAAGAACATATGGTTCGCTGTTATCGCAAATGAGAAACGATTCCTTTCCTGGATAGTTACGATCGAGTTTCTTCCATTTCAACCTTAATTGCCTTAATTGCCAGCAGTTTTCCATTACTAATTACCTGTCCGGTTGATAATATTTTATGAAAGACGTTGCACGTTTCGATTCGGTTGTAATCATTCTTTGGTAATGAAAATTCATTGTTACCACCCTTTCTATTGTTACCTATTTATCATTTATACACTTGTTCGTTGTAAAAGCGTATTTTCGTGTTCCACGTAGTACGAAGAGGTATCGGTATGTAATGGTGGAGCATGCGAGTACTCGCTAGGTATGCGCTCTGTTCGGTCGCGCGCGCGTGAACGTCGATGTGCCGCTTACATTAAATAAATTACAGTGGCCGCGGACCGGTAACACGGGAACGCTGTTACCTGGTCTCCTCTCCGCTCGTACACGCAAGCGAGCAAAGCTTGCTGGCAACAGCAAAACCCCTTTGGCTGCGAGAAGCGTTACACCAGGCTTACTCGTTTCTTCAGCTAGCTTCCATGGAGGAAGTCCTTTTAGTGGTCTCTTCCCATGACCGTGGCTTCATCCACGGAACGATTTTCCTGTCGTCGGAAAAATTATTACCACCACACGATGCGAATCATCGCCAGTTCTCTCGGTCCTATTGTTCAAACGGCATATTCTCTTCCATCATACTTTTTCCTTTCTTTTCTTTTCCTTACGAATACTTGGTACCGTATGAAAGATAACCCGTGCACTGTTTAGATCATTATGTGAATTTTCTACAATTTTCAGTTTTTCACGACTGAAAAATCGAAATATAATACTTTTCTGTGACTCTGTTGAAATGTTCGTTTTCACGCATCAGAGACCACGCTGCCTCATTCCTAAGATTGATTTCTACCATTTCGAAGGAACATGCCTCGAGAAAGTATCAGGTTCCAGAAATTTACACGGCCGTCCCCGTCTGAAAAGTCGATAGAAAAAGACAAATCGAAGATAGCAAGTAGGAATACGGTGCGAGTACATTGAATCCGTGCCTCTCCACCACCTCTTTCCACCTTTTTCCTCGTCTTCTTTTTCTGGAGTTGTTGAGGTCAGAACCGTGATCGTGCCTCACCTTCCTTCCCGTTGGTCGGGCATTCATTGGCCTCGCCTCCACAGATCTTCTCGAGGTTACGGCGTTCCCCAGCGAAGCCACGCGATAACTTCGACCTTCTCCGATAACGTTCCGATTCCCACTATATATACACCAGCTCGCCTCTTTCCAAGAAACTATACTCGCTAGTCGTGTTCACGGTTTACTTTTAACCCTTCGAACTACCACGACTACTTTTATTACCTTTACCTCAAGTTTGAATAGATATTTTGATTAAAAAAAAAAAGAGGCAAAAAGGCCATGAGCAAGACGTAATAATATTTCAGGTGTAGGTAACCGCGACAGGATAACGCGTGCGTGCAGTTCGTAACACGCAAGCGCGACAAAGACACGTCTTTAGGTCCCGTACACTTCCCGCAGTAGCGTGCCAGCTTGACCAATTAAGGGCCTCTTCCGTCGAGAGCTCTGTTAATGGTGGATGTGTTGGTTGCGTTTGCGCGAGCCTGCGCAATTCATCGTACTCGTTCCACCTCCTATCAACCTGATCCCATTTTTCATTAACGCGATCCCTTGATTTAAGCTGAACCTTGTTACGCTTCTGCCTTTTATTACGCGAAACGATAGAGTCTTTACGAGATAAGCGTGAGAAGGAAACGCGGCGACAAAATGGGCGGAGGAAGGGCGACAGGTAGCGTAAAAGAATGATCCGCGTCTCGGTGATTATGTAACGCCAGTCACGGTGTGACCTGTCAGAACGAAAGGGACGCAAGTGACAAGCAACGACCGGAACTCTGAAAGAAGACGGTGGCAGTGAACTTGAAGAGAAAGAGAAGACCGCGAGACAATGGTGAAAGACGAGCAAACGAAAAGACTGATGTTGAAACTAGTTTGATAAACTTTCCTACGAGGGAAGTTTCTTCTGTTAAAGAAGTTAGGGTCACCGCATCTAGGGAATTCGTATGTTGACGAGTTGAGCCTTGTTGAGACGGTTTCCAAGTAGTTGCGTCGCAAGTTGTTATACCGTTAACGCGACTCGGATAATGAAAACTAGCCGGAAAAGGAACGATTATACTTTTCGTAACAATTGTATTCGTTTACAATCCTCTGTGAAAAATAGGGACTACCAGCTTCTAAAACAGACCACCTACTAGCGTTTCTTCGCTCCACGGAAAAGTTGGAAAAGCGCTCGTTACGAGGTAGAAGAAGGTCGTAACGAGGCGCGTCCGTCCTGTAATTAGGGTAGGGAGCGTACCGATGGGAGGACGCGTCGGAGTCGTCGATTCGAAGACGACTCTGTTCACGATTGTTTCGTAATCCCTGTAAAATTTATTGGCACGTTTAATCCTCTGGTTGTTCCTGGGTCGGCACCACGCTGAGCAGACGCGAACAAAAGCGGCTACGTTCGTCGAATGGCCATTGTTCGCGCGAGTGGACGCGAGAGATCCGTTCGTTACAATGAAAACCATCCCCGAAGGTGGACGCGGTTACGCCCTCGACAATTGGGTCGATAGTGGTCTTCTTCTGTCTTTAAGAAAATCCCTGGCAATGTGACCTCAGGTATATGTGTCCTGGACTCGTGGTTCCCTTTCGGAACTGGCTTCTGCCTTCGGCCACGCAACAGGTATACACGCGAACTTTTACCTGCGATTGTTTTCTCTATCCAACACGATAATAACCCGTTGGATGCGTTCGACAGAACGAAACTTACAACTCTATTCCTTATTTTATATTTCTCCTTTATGGAAACTGGGATTCTCGATTAAATAATGCATGCCGATGGACACGGTAGATACAGTATCGAAGGACGGTGCAATTCATGCGTTAAGAGTATTCGATTACCACGGACTGGTTAAACTCGAATAATATTTTCATATGACACTAGTAATACTACTTAGAATTCTCTTCAGTTTCCTTCAGTTCTTGATATCTAATATTAATTTTTTTCTTCGTTGTTGAAAAACCAACGAGGAAGAAATTTGATGAAAATAAATCGGAATAGAAGAGTGGCCGCATGGAACAATAAGGTTTATTAACGTTCGTTCCGTTGGTCGAGTTGCGTCTCGGAGTTTTCCCGAGAATACGTAACAGTTCTTTCATACCTGTTTGGCTGCATAGCCGGTCACCGTGCTGCAACCATCTCTCCTTCCCTTGCCGCCATCACCGTTTACCTTCTGGACGTTGCGGCACGGTAGGCAAGCAGAGTTGCATAAGTGTTTCTCTCGCCTCGATCTCGACCTTGACTTTGACTCTTGATTACGACCACGATCACGATCACGACCACGACCAAGTAACGACGCCAACCAACGACCAACGGTTTCGCAAGCCGTCTATATACCAGGTGTTTATAACATGCATAGAACTGAATTGTTCTATGAGAATCGTCATCGTAACTGGAGATATCTAAAAGTACATTTTTCCCGACTCTAAATGGTCAGTTCGGCCCCAGCGCGACACTCTACAGAATATTATTACATAATACATATTCGTGTAATTATTATTTCATGATAATAATTTCATCGAAGAATTCGCAGGCAAACGCGTTCCTCGTTTACGTACAATTAAATTGGTGTATAATTACATTATTAAGCACGCTCGTTAACCGCCTATTAAATAACTCAAACAAATTTTCGCAGCTTCGGTCTTGCTGTGCCTTCGGTTTTTTTTTGTTTTTTTTTTGTTTTTTGCATCGGAAACCTGTATCAGTTCCAGTAATTTCACGCTAACGAGTGCTCTATGTCCAGTTCGTAATAAGAAAAAAAGATATAAACGGCCGAGAAAAATCCTTCCATCTTTGGATGGATTATTAATTCCAGGTGGCCTGACGATCAAACCGAGACTGATGGATATCATTTTATAACACCTTTGCATTTTACATAATGCCGTTTGCTCTTAAAAGGAAATATGAATCAGTCGCTAGAAGAAAAAAGTAGAGATTATTACCTCGGATGATTTAAAAGAAAAAAGGAATTAAAAAAATATAATATCGATGCTTGTGCAATAATATATTACACAATTTCTCCTTTTTTTTTCTCCACCAAATTCGAGAGAAGAAAATGAGCGATTTGTTTCTGGATTTATTGCGTTTAACGCGAGGCTCCGCAATCGGAGTGAAAATCTTCGAAAGTTCTCGGGAAGCGTCCAAGATTTCATCTCGTGTCCCCCGTGAAGAGGTCGTAAACGAATTTCGAACCTTTTGCCGGATTTTTCGGACGATCTCGAGTTTTCCCATACGAGATCCATCGAGATTAGAGGCTACCTGCCGAATTCGTGCTGCGGCCGAGGACATAATTCAACGTCGTCGCATCTTGGTCCAAATTCGAACAAGTGCTGCGTGTAGAATGCCTGGAAAAGTTTCTTCGAAGATGTTTCAGATCGAAAAGATTTCCCTCTTCTCTTAAAACTTTGCATTGTCTTCGTTTCATCAAGTAGATACGAAAACGATCGTCCATCGAAATGATTGCAATTGGGAAGATAAGATTGGATCTTTCGGATAACTTTTGAAATGTTCCGTAGAAACGCATAGTTACACGGTCGTGGTTTAACAACACGGTTCGAAGTTAGCCTCACTACGAGTATACCGCTTGACAACATAACCGACCTAGTGGTTAGATACAAGAACCTAGCCTTAACCGTGACTTCGCGTCCATCATAAACCAGTACGTGGACACGTAGATACCAAGCCGCGCTTATTGGAGAACCGTGCGTGCAAATGCGCCGGGTCGCACAGGTGGTACAGGCTCGAGGAAGTTGTGCATTTTCTTTCGTGCACATGTTTCATAGCTCGAAACGTTTGCCCGACTCGTTTCACGGAAATGCTGCAACTCGTAAATCCAACGAGAAACTCTCCCAATATATTTTATCACGATTCTTACGATCTTTCTCTTACAACTCAAGCTGCGTTTCAAAATGATTCATTTAAAAAAACCGCCACGCGAATGCGCATGCGCAACGGCGAGGAGAGAAAAGCGCGAGAAAAATGTTAGTTCAAAAATTCAAAATAAAGTGGCAATTAGAATTGCCACGAATCGATTTGAATTGAAATAGTAATCGAATTATTTAATTGACAGAAGTTTTACAGCCCTGTCGGCTATCTTAGAGACACTCTTCGAGAAAGAGAGAAACGGACGAAGAAAGACGACACGGTGAAGACGAGTCTCCGTTAAAAAGAGACGCGATTGCGACCAGCCAGCGAACCGGTGTGTATAAAGACCGGCAGAAGAAGAAGAAGAAGAAGAAGAAGAAGAAGAAGAAGAAGAAGAAGAAGAGAGGAGTGGGTAAAAGAGCGGGGAAGTCCCGCGCTTCAGCACACGTACGATGCTCCGTTACGCGCATGCGCCGTAAGCTGTTACCATCTCCAACCGGGGTCTGGTCGGTCCCCTGGTGCTCGCTAAAGCGACCAAATAATAATCTGGATGGGCAGTAGCGTGCAAACGATCCCATGGTAGGGGAAGAGGGGCCAGTCTGGATCGATGGTGGGGGTAGGTTGATGGAATGGTGGGGTGGTCGGAGCTCGGCTCTCCGGGGCCCCGTCTGGCGAACGGGCAACGGAGTCTCAGTCGTTCACCAGAGGTCGGTCGTTCGTGTACGTTTGTTCGATCTACGGCCTCTGTCCAGGATAACTGTAAATCTGTAAGAAAGAAAGAGAAAGACCCACGGTGTTTGGAGGAAAGAAAGAAAGAAGGAGGGAGACCTTGGGACTGACCGAGGACAGAAGAGAGGCTAATCGATCCCTGGACATCGCGAATGCCGTGCTTCGTCGATTATAGTGACCGTTGGGAAGAGTGATCCGTTGACTGGCTAAATAATCAATCGGATTTTTTCCATTGCCGTTGGATTTTTTTCAGCTGGAGAATTCGTACTCGTTGCTGATACTGTGACAGAGACGAACAATTCTGGATTGTATCTAGTCGTCGAGAGTGACTCGCAGGACACTTGGTTAGAGATATATTCCGGAAAAGACAGAACGAAGTGATTTATTGGTGCGCGGTTGATGGTTTCAAGGAACACGGCTCCGCTCGGCCGTGGTTATGGTGGCGTGAAACTATAAAAAGGGTGAAGTGACAGGTTTAGCCGAGAGCACCAACGTCGTACGTCAGGATGCCGAAGATATTCCTGATCAAGAACCGGCTGCATCAGCAGCAACTGAGGCTGCTCGAAGCACAGCACCTTGGCAAGAGCCCGCCACCAGGTAGCGGCAGGGACAGTCCCATTGGCAGCTCTGAGCCCCTCAGTCTTATCGTCAACAAACACCAATGTAAGTCCTTCCTACTAAATCAATTTTCTCTCTGTTTTAAATAATTCCTATCCCGAAGGTTCTCTACCGTGCTGTAACAATGAATGTCACGAAGAATGAAACGTCAAACTATTATATTTATACTTATTATGTCAGCCATACCGTCGACCAATATGCAAAGAATAGATAAAAAATCTAATGTATCGTATATTTGATTAGAGGATTAGAAGTTGAATTATTTATAAGGGAGGGTCCTTTATTAAAAAGTAATTAGAAAGTTTCAGCTTAATTGAGCGTATAGAGACACGATCGAGAGATTAATGTCCGATGAATTTGCAAAATTATAACAATTTCATCGTTTCGCGATAAAGATCGTTACGACGCGAGGAGTAGCAAGCCGGTTTCGGTGGTTCATTAAAATTCTTGGTTTCCTCTAACCCGGTGAGGTTGCTTTCTTGCACTTGACGGTCTTGAAAAAGAAGAAAAAAAAAAAGTTGGCGCAGGAGAATATTTTAAGCCAGCCACGCAGGTGCAAACGAGTTGGATGGCACAGGTGCCGTTGCAATTTAAGAGTTCGTTTGCAAATTTGATTTGTAAAGTTGTCCTTAACTCACGCTTCGCGCAATGTCGCTTCGCGTAAAAGATAAAACTTTTCGATAATTTTTCGAAGCTCCGTTTGAAAAACATCAATTGCTCGTGACATTGATGAATTACGAATGAAATAGAGAAAACACTTCAGCGCTTGTATTATCATCGATTACACAATCATTTCATCGATCTCTCATGGTGCTCGTTACACAGTTATTTATTCTTTTTACGCGACAATCGAGCAACGGTATTATGCGTAAACAACTGTATGTAAACAATTTTTCTTTACCGCGCACGATTCACCACCTATGTAGATTCCATGAAATTCAAATTATCCACGTACGCATATCCCTACGAAGTTGTATGCTAATGGACGTGATTAATCCAATCGAATAGAACTCCAACTACGAGATAACTTTGTCATCAACTTCGTTTCTCTCGCGACACCGAAATTTCGCCCACGTAAAGTGGCTCTTTTGGTTTAAAATAGAAACAGATTTCCAGTTATGTAACTGATTGGGAGACGAGTTAATTGGGTTTTCAGCTCGAGGCGGTTGGCGATAGTCTGACGCGTTCTTTTACAACGGTATAGTGAGTAGACGAAGTTGGGTCCTAAACTGGTTTAGAAAAATGGACTCGAACCGGTTCCTCTTTTTCACTGGTTCCTTCTTTTTTTCTTCTGCTTTCACGGGCCAGGATCGTCCATATTTCGACAGTTCGATGGCCCCTATCGATTATCGTTGCTGCAGGTGCAAATTTCAGCTCCAACGTCGGCGTTGCTCGTTAACCAACGAGCGTGTCAATTAAAAGCGGGCGACCCTAATTACTCGTTGGTTGAAAAGGGACGAATAAAGGGTTCTTGATAAGGTGGCATCTTCTTTTTATTAGAAACCCGAACCGAGTACTTGCGATCTTCGATTATTGCACGATAAACGAAACGGTAAAGCTGTTTCGTTCGTTTATTAGCGTCGCTTCGTTATCGTCGTCATCGTCACGGTGTCGTAAATTTTCGCGTGCCACGAACTCGCTAATTTCATGGATATAATGCCGAGGAGGACTGTGACGCGATTACTATCGACCGAAAACGAAGGGATTAACATTTGAATTATAAATTAATCGTTAATTCATAAAATTCACATGAAATGGTTCATTTTCTTTATCAATCGTTAGGTAATTTATCGTATTAGATCACTGAGTTATCGTAAACTATAAAACAATCTATTTCTGCGAGTTCTCAGAAAAGAAAAACGCAAGATTGACAAGTTGATCGTTGAAAATGGAGAAAACTATTAAATATTAATAGAGTTGAAGTCAACGTTCTTCACAGATTTATTATGTTTACCCGTTACATGAGATTCAGTAATTTATCAGAGCGATAATCTCCTGTAACGCATGCTGACGTATTCGAACGACTATGAAAAGCGTTCGAGGTTACTGCAGAAGTTTTTTACCCGTTGATTTGTGCAATGAAATCAAAAAATTTATATCTCGACCTCCTTGTGCAGTAATAATTTTCTTTTCCACTTTAACAGCATTTTAAATCATAATGTATTTTAAATTAATGGGAAATACGATTTTTGTATAAATTATACAGCGTTTAGTGTGAAGCGCGTGGAGACTTCAACGCCCGGTAAGGGACCCACGGTCGGAGACTTCGATGCCCGAATAAGCGATGCGTCGCGATGCCGATACGCCCGAAGGAAATATTTCGTAAACCTAATTTCGTATTTGATATTTGGTCTAGGTCACTCGTAAGTGGGATATAAAAATTCTCATTAGCGTGTTACCACGTGTACTGCTCGGTTACGGTTCAATTTGGTCACGAACGCGTTACGCGATATTGCACAATAAGAATCTTACCCGTTACAATAAGAATCCTCAAGTTTCGCACGGTTCTCCAATGAATTGCGCAATCTCCAGTCTCAATGTCTCCTCTGTAATTCCACGACGGCCAAGGCGAAACGAGCGCCGGCATTAGAATCTGGTCAGGTCGACGAGAGACGGTGAGGGAGAGACAGAAGGACGTTGTCTAATTAAAAATCATCTATTAAGAATAAGGTACACTGGCATCGCGTTCGAAATACTGATATTTCAATAGCTTGATGAATAGCGTTCAAGCAAAGTCGAACGAAATCGCGAAGGTACCGTTTTTAAATCGTGTCACTTTCCAAAGGTAAAGTTAACATTGCACGTACATAGACGAAACTCGTTTGCACGAGACGAGTCGAGACGAGACGAGACGTAAAGCGTTCGCCTGTCGTTGACACGTACAGGTAATCGCGCACCTGTGCCAAAGGCTAGTACACCAGGATGTGCAGTCATCGTGACGAATTACAATGCACCGCACTACGGTGTTCATCGTGCGTGCATTTCGAAATAGACGCGTGTGCGTGCCCATACCTCTGTGTGCCATTACAGGTATGTGGGTATCCGAAGGTACGGGTCTTGTCTAGCGATGGGAACGAATTGTCTGCGAGCAATCATTTAATTCTACCTTTGTTTTTCTACTCGATAAACATTGAATATTATTCGATTCAGGATGATTCATTTCCCGGTCATGTATATTCTTGCTAAGCTAATGGTAACATTTATATTCATTGCTAAGTGTTTATATGCAGAATGCTTGCCGTTTGTAAGGAAATGAAATGAAACGGTCAGGATATGAAAAATATGCAGATTTGTTTCTCGAATACTTCAGTTGCACTGACGATACGTTATTGATTTTTGAACATTCGAAAATTTGAATTCGAAAAATGATCAATTCCGTAGCTAACGACACGCTGCTGGAGTCGTGTGGTCACGCCTGGAGAACAGGTTCGGTTGGTCGTCGAAAGCGACGTGTAAAGCAGGTAGAACAGAGTAGGTACATCGTCTGGCGCGTGCACATACACACGTTCAACTCACCTGTTCACTGACGTTCAAATACACGGAGGCACGTCGCGGTGTCCGCAGAGAAACAAGTCGCATTAGCAACTACTGTGGCGGAGGCTAATGGCGCAAGAGGGCCGTGACCGAAATTCTTTCGAAGCAAGGGGGCCAAGTGCAGAAAACGCTCGGCTCCACTCGATAAATCTGTTGCCGGCCTCCAAGTCCTTCGTCGACCACTATCTTTCTATTTTTCTACTTGATTTATTAACTCGCAACCGTCGCTGTTTTTAATTCTATTTTTCTCCTGAATTTTGAACGATTCGACTAACCGACAGCAGAATCGAAGAAAACATCCGACAGCAAGAAAAAGAACAGATCAGATCAGAATCGACAGATCGTTTTACCCGAATATTTTATACGGAATCGTTAGATCGGATGCATTAACAACGGTCGATCACCGATTTCGCAATAACACTGCCTCTTCTCGTGACACGATTTTGCGATAGCTGTTACAAAAACAAATGGACCGCGCGCGCTGTCGTGTCACGGAAGAAAAATAAGTGGAAACAAAATGTTTTTCTTTTTCTCATTGAATCTATAAATCGATGCAACGTGTACGTACGATCGCTGCCATTTGTGTACCGGTTTTTCTTGCGCGTTACCATCGGTGATAGATGTAAACACGGTTCACTCTTCCGCGTGAGGAATCGCGACGAATGTCAAGGCTACGCATAGATATCGGAGAACACGTTTCGCGTAAGTTTCTGTAGATAAATAAAAAAAGAATGCTTAGAAATTTTTGATAGCATCTGGTAATTATACCCATTAACTGTTATACAACTTTTATCGAGTACATGAAACTGCAAGTGCAATGTCATACGATTTGTTTTTTTTTCAATCAAATGACTGGTATAAGTTTATTCACAGATTACGTAGAGTAAAGTGTGAGGAAAAGAGATAAGCGTTAGAAGGAAATGAGAGGTCGATGAAGGATTATCGGATGACAGAGGTGGAGGAGGGACAGTGTGCGCGGTTCCATTACGTAAGGTAACCGAATGGCTGCGTTTACAGTGTCACCTTGCTGGTCGCGATGCTTCCACCCACGCACAGTACCGCTACGTAAACGCTACGCAGATACACGTAACAATCTGTGTAGTCTCGTTTCTGTCCACACACAAACATTCTTCTCCGTACTGTACATACTCTTCGATACAGTATTTAGAAAATTCATCGAAGATGGGACTTGTAGGTGTCATTCAACCTGATCAGCTGTTTAGGGTACCCCGGAAGCCCATTACTTAACGGCTTATATCTCGGTATCTCGAAAGCAAGATTATTAGGCTGCACCTTTTTAATTTAAAAAACCCGCAACTGTTTTGAGACACCCTGTAGATTGAGCACGCATGCTGTATACGCGATAAAGTACGATGACTTATACATATTATATTCGATTCATTTGAATTGCATGAGTTTCTGAAACCTTAGACGCCCAAAGCTGTCACAGCGTGACTAGCTTGACTTTCTCGACAATTCCACGTATATGCACCTACAAGACATTAATACAATAGTAGGAAGATATTTGCATCCTCGGATTTACCCACGATGGGTTCCAGAATTCTTTTGCAACGATAAGTACCCTTATTTAAGATCGTTGAAAAAAGAAACATGCATGTAAGATAGATCGAAACGATCGGATCGATCGGTTGTCAGCTGTCAGTGATTCGATGCAATGCATCGGAACGCGATGTCGATCGCGTTGTTATTCGCGATGCGCATTCTTTTCAGTGGTACAATCACACCTTATCGACTCGTGTATTCGGTTTCTACATGTTGGCAAGCCGAGTTTTGCATTTCGAGTCGCGAGATGCGATTTAGTTGTCAGTCGCGTCGATCGTTCTCATTCAAATTACAAATTAAGCGAACCGTCGAGTTTCTTCGTGAAATTTCCAACCAACAAATATTCCCTTGACACTCTGTACGTTGTTGCAGGATCGATACAAGGGATAATTGCATGGATGGATTAAATGGAACGGTCTGTAGTATGAAGCACTTGCTCGAAGAGTTTTTTTTATCGGTTATTTTATGTGGCATGAAACCCTCGTTAAGGGTCTCCCCTCGATGCACCGGTGTTATATTATGATCCTTAATAAAGGGTTACTTATGGTCAGGTTGAAGTGGTTGTACCTGTCGGTGCTTACCTTTCATGAAATAGACCTATCCACCTTAAGAATCTTCCACGTTCCATTTTTTACCATTAAAAAATAATTAAATGGAAAATAGTCGTGTGGAAAATCTAATTTTCCACTCAAAGTTAACACATTGTTTGCGGTCGTTTTTTTCATCAATCCACCCCGTAAAGCGGGCAAGTTTTTCAGATTCGTACACGAAATTACGTTTCACGTAAAATAGCTATAACGTAGTAATAGTAGTAGTGGTAGTACCTACCCACATCTCACAACGGCTGGCGCCTAATTTTTACTGTACAACGCGTTTCAAGCGTCTCCCGCTCTCTACCAACAGTATGCAAAAGACGCGTTTAAGCGTCTCCCGCAGACAACGTGTTAAAAGAAGAAATAGTGGTATAGAATAGTTTAGAGAGCATTTCTAACGACGAGTTTTTACGCAACCGCTTGCGTCACACGTGATGGTCGAAGGTAACAGAACGGGCTCCGTGATGGAGAGGACTCCAAAATGGCGGTTCCCGTTCGCGGTTGAGCAACCTTCGAGGCAGAAAGAATCGTACGTGAGATTGCCCGACCAAATCCCTCGAACAGGTCCGGGGCCGTGCTATAAATACCTGCACGAGCTTCGTGACCGGTGTACCGATCTATTTCTTTGTCTCTTTTACTTCTGCTTAACAGAGGAAGCCTCCTTCTTCTCGTCCACCCTCTTCTTCTTTTGTCTAAAACAGTAAGAGGAAGAAAGGGAGCGAGTCGAAAGAGCGAGATGAAGCAAGAACAACCGGTACTTCGAGTCTACCAACAGGAACGAGATCTTTCTGCCAACACTGGCATTTTCAGTTGTCGAACAATTCAGCTTGTCACCAGATGAAAATTTAATACTGAAATAATTAACCCTCCGGTTAAAAGGCAGAAGTTACTTACTCCGATAAAAAATTACTCCATAGCCAAAATTTGAAGTATTTTAGAAATGATGACGAATTAAAATCTAATCTCTTGATCCATGACGATGAAAAGCGAAGAACGGAAAATGCTTTCCTCCGATCGAACAAGCTAGCACGTGGTCGCAAAAACAACCCGTCCTCGTGACTGGGTTTCCTGGTTTCCGCTCGAACGGCTTCGCCGACCGACAGGATGTCCTCGTGCTCCATTCGTGAAGCACAGTCGATGTCAAAGTCAAGAGAACGCGAACGGGCCGGATAATGGGAGAAAATTACCACAGCCAGACACCTTCGTTCGGTCGAACGATCAGACGATTCCAGACAGGCGAATAATTACTTGCATCAGACTGTCCTTGAAGGGCGCTCCTCGCTGTCCCGTTTTCTTCTTCGCAAATTGCGATCGTGAAAGGCTGCAAAGTACGAACGGATTTATTTTGTAATTCGCGTTGTCGAGAGAATCTCTGAATTACCGAGTCCTTCGGGATTCAGTTAGTCGAATGATTGCGAATAAGAGAAAACGGTGTGCCCTTCACCACCCACGGGTACGGGGCGCAGCGGTTTATAGAATGGCTTTTTAACGGCGCGGCGGGTTACATGGTGCTCGAAACATAAGCGTCGCTCGTCGAGGACGAATTACGAGGCGGTGCGTGAAGGACGCGCGGAAAGAGAGTACAGCATACGGTACCTACGTACCCCCTCAAGGTTGCTCGTAAATTCAGCCATAGTGGTTCCACGGGGCCCATATTATAAGCAACCGTTCGCTCATTACGTATTCCAAAGACGCGTGTCGGGCATTGAAATTTTTCTCCTTCGCCTATCCGGGCTGAATTTTGCGAATTTTAAAACAACCTTCACTCTATCTTCTACGCGTTCTGTCCTTTGATAATCGTTTTTATGAAACAAAGACTTTATGGAATTCCATAAACAATATTAATGCGAATTTTTATTAATCAACAGATCGCGATAAAACGGACGACGATCGTGCGACGACCCCGGAATCCTTACGCAGCACTAGTCCAGCTTCTTCACCGCCACCGCAATGGCAATCGACCAGCACGCCGACCAGCACACCACCTAGACGCTTCATCTCGAGTATCTTGGGCGGAGATGTCCCGTACGGAAGCAGAGGTCACGTTTTGACCCGGGCTGAACGCAAAGAGTATAGCAGCCCGCCGATCGCACCATCCTCCAGCGATGCTTCTCAATTTCTCACGAAATCAGAGAAGCTGGTGCTGCCAAGACCCAGCACCCCTCCAAAGACACCGAGAGTCGAACCACCTACCAGGGTCTCCGTCATCCAAAGGGTTCCCTCTCAGAATCAATCAGCTTCTAGGAGAGAGGACAAAGTTGAGATGCCACAGACCCAAGAACCAGAACAGGTAAACATATACTTTGTCTCTAAATTCTCACCTTCGACAAGGATGGATAGAATAAAGTAATTCTTTGGGGAACACCGTTAGAAATACCTAACCGATGCGTGTACCAGTCGACCGATCCCTAGGATAAATGACATTGAATATGTTATCTATGCAGGAACAGCCTATCGATTACGCCGTCCCGAAGAGAAAGGAAGAGGACGAGGAACGAGGCCGCGAAGGCGCAAAAGTGTCGCGTGCGATCGGTAATTCGATCGCTAGGCCTTTGTTAGCCATGCGACTGTCCGGTCCTCAGGTCGTCCACGCAGCGGCCGGCCACGGAAGATCCTCCAGTTCCGGTAATAACGGTAGTTCCGGTTCGAGCGGCGGATCCAACAACTCTGGCAGTTCGTCGTCGTCGAGTTCGGGCGGAACTGGCAATTATTGTAGCGGTGGCGCGGTGACCGGTGGCAGCGGAGGAGGCGGCGCGGTCGGTGGTGGCGCCGGGGGTGGTGGAATGAATCCCGGAGGGAACGGCGGTCGTGGAAACTACGGACCCAGTTCGCCGCCCACCGGATCCCTTCCACCCTTCTACGAGTCCCTCAAAGGCGGCAACAACCTGGCGAATTTCGCTAATCAGTACAACAGCACTCAAGGTAGGGTCATCGATGAGATCCACCCTTTTCCTCCTTCGTTATACCTACCCTAGTTTCTGAAGTAATATCGAGTCACACTTGTGCTGTCGATAGCACGAGGGTCGCTCTGAAAGTTTTGAGAATCGCAGCCAAAATAAGCGACACAATTCACGGCTGACTTAAGAAAAACAACGCTCGACCCTTCAAGCACAGTTTACAGCCTCGCTCTACTTGCAGCCAAAGCATTCGACAGATGACGCTGCAAGAGGCAACAATTGTTGTATGTGACGTATCGTTCTATTGGCCGATTCTCAAAACTTTCAGCATCACCCATCGAAACAAGCCGAATGTCACGAGGATCATCGTTCCTTTACTATCAGGGTCACTCTGAAAGTTTTGAGAACCGACGCAAACAAAACACGACAATATATTCAATCCTTGAGAATAGTTTTTTTTTAGACTCGGACGGGGTACACGAAATTCCATCGTTCAAAGTGCATCGATTTCCTAACAAACGTGAAATTATCGTTTCAGGAAATGGATACTTGACGCCATCGCCGACGGTGGGAATGGAGTGCGACACGGGCCAACAGGATGTCAATTCCCAGCATTCTCAATACAACGCCCAAGAAGGAAAACAATACTCTCTTTTGCAAAATGTCTGCGCGTCCTATGGTTTGACGTTGAAAGAAGAAGAGGATCTGTCGCCGTATAAGATCCAAGCGAACGACCTCCTATCCGGACAGTACAGCACCTACGATATGACGGATACCGGGATGATGGTGGACATGGTGACAGGTGCCGTGGTGGATCCTCTTCAATTCACTGCCACTCTAACCTTCAGTTCACCGTCGGATCACACGGCCCTTTTGGAAAGTTTGGGCGACGCTGCTGACCTATTTCTACCAAGGCTACCCGCCGAAGATGGTAGCAACGATCTTCTCGAGGAGTCGTTGCATTCGCCTGCTTCGGCTGGAAGCGGTATCGGTCAGGATGCCGGTCAGATGACCACTCCCGTCGAGCCTAGCGTCGATCCTTTCCCGGAGCACAGCATGGCCTTGACCAGAGGTTTCGATACGTCTAGGTAAGCGGTATTCGAGCAGCGATCGGTGTTCCTTCGAATCGAGCTACTTTCGATGGTCGCACGCGATACAGTACACTTATGCAAATATTCGTTCCTGTGAAAGTAATCTGCTCTTTAACCCTTCGCACTTCACAATTGTTTGCGTTGCTGGTTCCCACAGTTTTCAGGCGGATCGAAAGCAAAGCGGTGTAAGAAGAGATCTTTCATTAAAACATATGCAGGGTGTCTCCTTAACACTTGACTGCTATCATATAACGATTAATACTTTACCTGAGAGGCTAATCTTCCATTTTGGAACGATCGATGAAATGATGGGAAAGTCGCTCGTCAACCGTCCCAATATAATACAAATAAATAACCGTCTTTGTTCAGGCACTACACGGCGGCTCCTCAACATTTCAGCACCTCTAAATTAGGCTTGGCATACACGACGGGCGAGTCGAGTTATCAGTCGGTCTCGAAAGAACGTCCAGAACTGGCGCTTCACATCAATCAGAATCATCAGAATCAGTCGGAACCACAGTTGCAGCAGTTGCAGATACAGGTTCAATTACAGCATCAGCAACAACAGCAACAGACTGCTCCCTCGCCTCACCAACAACATCAAGGACTCCTGAGCCCAGGATTAAGCTTCACCGGTAGTGGTTAGTGTTTCTACTTATTTTGTGCTACAATATCGTAATAAGTACTTTAAAAACAAATCATCTCTAATTTATTTGAAATACATCATAATCATTGCATTCTCTTTGTGGACGATTGATCGCTTTAAATGTTTGAATAAATGTCGTATGCCAAGTGACCGTAACGATATCGTAACAAAAATAATATTGAAATGGATTAAATAATCGTGGGATCTACGTAGTAAGGTGCACAAGTTCCGTTTTTCTCCTCTGGAGGTATGAATCAATGCTGAAGATTTTTGGACCTTACTACATGTATCCTTAGCTTTTAGTGAATTAAACATTGGACAAAATTGATTCGAAGGTCTGGAACTGGATTCAGGGAGCAGCGTAGGTGGAAGTTTGCCAAGTCCCGGTGCAGCCAGTTGTTCGTTGGATACCGCATCGACCAGCACGTCACCTTCGTGCGCCTTGATGGAACACGCCCCCAGCCCAGCTACCACAGTGTCCACGGCATCCGTACAGCCGACCGGGCCCGTTGGAGAACCACCACTGACGCAACGGGTCGGTGTACTACAGCAAAGGGTAAGCACCCGAAATTGATCCAGGCAAAAGCATAGTTTTCTTTGTTGCTGTTAGGGCTAAACATGGCCAGTTCGTACCTATATGGCTCTGTTTATCAAAATCACCTATTTATCTTCTCCATTCAACTATTTAAAGAGTGGACTTTGTAATTTTAATTTTTTGTTGAAAAAATTATATGACATTTATTTTCTGTTGTTTCAAACATTGCCATATAGACGTTCAAATAAATATTTTTAAAACAACTTGCTTTAAGATTGATTCATCCAACAGAATCACGCCATTATGCAATGCCAATCAAATTGAGTGCTTCATCCACTGTCATGAATCGAAGAGTAAGAGCGATTTAAGTGAGAAGTTGAAATTGATTGTTCTTATCTATTCATAGCTGGGACTGCCTGGTGATTGTCAGTTGGAGTTCGTTAACGGTGGCCACGGAATTAAAAATCCTTTGGCTATCGAGGGTCAGAGACAGGCAGCTGCTAATCGCGAGGAAGAGAGGGCAACCCGACCTCCGCCTGGCAAGGTAAACGTCATTCTTGAACGCTTTTCTTCGCCATATATATCTAATATTTTTCTTAACGCCTGATTAGCATTCCTCGAACTTTACTGAATTCATATCTTACGCCGCTAGATCCAGAGTATCTGATTAGCGTTCCAGTTTTCTGCTATTGTATAGGGTGCTTCAAAAGTTCACTGTATTAAGAAATACAGATAACAAAAGATCTCTTTTATTATTTAGGACGACGATCCAAACCGGTTCACGTGTCGTGTGTGTAGCAAGAACTTCAGCCTACAACGATTACTGAATCGTCACATGAAGTGTCACAGCGACGTGAAACGTTACTTATGCACATTCTGTGGCAAAGGCTTCAACGACACGTTCGACTTGAAGAGGCACACCAGGACGCACACAGGCGTTCGACCCTACAAGTGCAATCTTTGTGAGAAGAGCTTTACCCAGAGGTGCTCTCTGGAAAGTCACTGCCTTAAGGTTCATGGTGTTCAGCATCAGTACGCGTATAAGGAACGTCGCACCAAGGTACGAATAAAAATAAACGAGAGCGGGAGGACCATTTTGTATAGACGAATGTTATCTCATTTCTGGAATTTGTACTGACGATTATCAATGGAAAAGAAACGGATGTAAAGTACTAGCCTGACTAATTGTTTAAGTCGTGATAACAATATCTTGAAACAAGCAATATCCCAAGAACATGTTGACCCCATTCGTTGCCTACAATACAAATCATGGTCGGAACATAGCTGAAATCATACTGAAATGGAAAATCTAACTGGTATTTTTGTTGTATGATCCAGGTGTACGTGTGCGAGGAATGTGGTCACACGACGCAGGAGCCGGAGGTTCATTACCTTCACCTGAAAGATAAGCACCCGTACAGCCCGGCTCTGTTGAAGTTCTACGATAAGCGACACTTCAAGTTCACCAACAGCAATTTCGCCAACATGCTGCTCCAGGTGCGCACGTAGACTCCGACTGGAGTTCCAAGTAAATGACAGTTTTTAAACACACACACCGTCGTAAATAGATAAACGACAATGTCGGTGATACCGTCGAAATACGCGGTTCCTTCGTTCCACGTACGATGGACACGTTCGAATAGAAAATTATATATCGGGCTAGGGTATTGGGGGGGGGGGGGGGGGGGGGGGGGGGGGGGGAGTACGAAGGAATACGATAAAGCAAAGAATTTCGTAAAGCGTAAAGCTTAAAAAAAAAAAAAAAAAAAAAAACACGAAAAAATATTTAGACAATAAAACGTGTGTTAGAATATACGAAGACAGACGAGCAGAGAATCCGATATTCGAACAAAAAAACATAACAGATGCAAGAACACGAAATTGTTCTTGGTCAATGTAACTCTTCAGGGTGGCCTGTTGCAACGGGACTCGCGGAATGCGGACAGCTGCGTAAAGTCTGCCTCGAAAAGCCTCGAGGCGCCTCTTCAACGCGCCACGACGTTATTGCATTTGGGTCGGGCGTCCAGCTTCTGACGGCCGGGCACCAGAAGATACCTAGGAAAGGTGGACGGATCAGAGAAGAGATGGTTAAGAGGATGAAGAGAAGGCTGGCTCCGATTTTGTTTAGCCACCCGATCGGATACACCATCCCATGGATCCCGGAGTAAACGTCGCGCGAAAAGTACCTGCAGGTGGCGCCACATTAGCGGTGACACAGGACGGCACCGTAGGCCGATGACGATCGGATTACCGAGAAATTTCGAAGCGGAATTCCCATGGATTCCAGCAGGATTTTCAGGATTCTTGTTCCTCCCCACACGTGAACATAGAACAAAAGAAACACGCAACTTTGTATACACAGTATTGCGCTATAGTGTACGCGATATTTTTGGCGCGTCGATTCTTACCGAACGTATGTAGGTAAATTTTGTATAATATACATCTAAACGATAATTGTATAGACTATTTGCTATATTTAGGTTTAGGGAACGAAGACAAGTCTAAGTCGCGAAATTAACAGAAAAAAATACACCCGAAGACTCGGATCGAACGTTTCAGGAATGACGGCCGTCTCTCACTCGAGATGGGAGAGCGCAATTCTTTTTTTTTTTCTTTTTTTGGAACGATTTCTTTTTTTTTTTTTCAAGCGATGTACGGCAAGTTACGTTGATTTCCGACTTCTAGGGTGAAACGATCACGGGGAAGCATTTAACGCCCGGGGAGACGTTAGGTGCTTCTCGAACTTGTTACGTCGAAATAACGATATATCGTGTCTCGAGGTAATTGTTTCTCTTAGATCGTAGCGTTCCTCGTTGACTGACGCGTTCGGGGAAACGAAAAGAATTTTTTTCTTTTTCTTTTTTTTTTTTAATTAAGTAATTAATAAACACCTATCGATACGCACCTTGGGAAATCTGTGATATGATAAGACACGATTTTACTCACTCCTCCGCGCACAAGATTTCGCTTATTGCACCTTGGTTCTTTCAAATGGGGTTACGCACCAACATAGTGGAGTGAGATCACACGACACACATATACACATTCTTTTACACGGCGGTTTTTGTATTTAAAAAAATTGTAATCTTTTTTTTTTAATCATTGGTCAAATTTTATTTGGGAAACAGCCGTGAACACATACACGTACACACAATGGGGTTTCGTGCAATTCTACGGTGGTAGGACATATGTTTATTTGGGTGACACGTGGGTGCACGTACAGTAATAAAAAACCGTGTGCGAATAAATTCGCGATTCAACATTATCGTTGAGAAAATGGTTCGAGTCTTCGTCGTGAGGAGGACTTGGAATATCGCGAGTAAATTAAATCCCAGTTAGGTAGGTAGAGATGATGATGGCGACCGTGAAACGGGTATATGTATACTTTCCAGGGGTAAATAGGGTGCTGAATTAAAGTCTTATAAATAGTATTCTCAATTTATTGTAGAATTGCATGGATATTGTATACAAGAATAGAATTTTTTTTTTTTTTTTTATGAATTTCAGACAGATTTTACAGAGGATGTTGAACTAAGTTGGAGGGAATCTGGAGGTGTTGAGGATAGTGTTTGATTTGATATTAAAATCCAAGGAAATATATTTTAGATGAACGACATCTCGATTAAAACGTTAAGCCTCCTATAAACTCGCGATTGATGTAAATAGTATTCACGTACAGGTAGCTGTTAATTGTATTTACAAGATCATTTAACGATTTTTCAATATACCGAATAGACGACGTTATTTATCCGATGAATATTGGGTAATTTGTAAATAGTAAATGTTAATAGCGGATTGCACGAGACGAAACAGAGTCTTAACTTTCAATAATTATTATATATCAGTACCTTTATACATATCGATAATGTATACTAACTTCGCGTATCTCCCTTGACAATACTCAAGGACGATGGTACTTCTCGTCGCAATCTGTTCATCGTTACGAATATTTTATTGCTAATATTATTATATTATATTATTATATATTATTATTATTATTATTAATATTATTATTTCTATCATGATTATTTAATTTACGTCCAGTATTGTCTGAAACAGTAGCACTTAGATATTTTTATCATCATTATTAATATAAAGTTCCATTTATACCTGCTATCATTTTACATAAATATTCATCAATAGTTATTCATCTTGACGCATCAAAGCGACAAGACTCTTATCATCCTCTAGTACTATTGCAATAATTAATATTATATTATTTTGAATATCGTTATTGCTGCTCGATTAATAGTTTTGGTTATTGACTTTATTATTAATATATAAATAAATATATATAGATATATAGTTATATACAAAGAAAACATATGTATACCTACGTTATTAATGTCTACAGGAACGACTCTTCTCCTTGTTGGGTGAAAGATTACGAATCCATAAGGTGCACCATGTATGTTTGAACCTGAGCGAGTGTTGGATGCGCGTTTGTGACTGCATGATCAACGAAAGGAAAAGTGTGTTTCACATGACTGTTCAAGATACTGTGTATATCGCATTCAAGGAATTTTGAAAGCGTTGACCAATCTTCATCAGAAAAAGAGTATAGATCTTGATCCTTAACCCGATCGTCATTAATTGATGCTGACCGTAATGAAATGCGGATACGCGCTGTCTGTGTATGTAGAAATGGAAAAAAATAATAAAATTAATATACTATGGAGACGGAGTGCCCTACCCTCTTCTTTTACTCTTGATTTGGACAAAGGTATGAATAATCAATATCACAAGAATCTCTGTATAAATATATATATATATATACGTTTATCTTTGATACTTTTACAACCGCTCATTAATTGCATTAATATAATACAATCTATGAGTCATGCGATTCTTCCAGCGACAAGTTTCTTCATCGCACAATCCAATCCGAGCTTCATTGGGACGAGAGTTTTGACAGAAGAAACAGTGCCAATGGAACAATGGATCCGTCGTACGATCGAACGTTCTATTAGAAATCTTGTATAGTTTTGGCGTGCTCGCTGGGCTGCAATGTCAAAATGATAAGAGACAGAGAGTGCTACTGCTACGGTTAAACTACTACTCCAGGATGTGTTTTATCTGCAACAGAGAATGATGCCGGTGTGATGATTCCTCGGCAAACACGCGACGAACGGATATGTACGGTGGGTTAAAATAGTAGATGGTCGGGTGTCGGCGTCCTGCTCGACACCGACTCGTTGTTTTCATCAGTAAACGCTGTTTAACTCGGTATACACGCAGGGGAATCGTTCTCTTACAGACGATTTTGTCTGGCCCACGAATCGAGGCTTCACCAGCGATTCTTTTTTTTTTTTTATTTACTCACTACTGATTACGAAGCTGGACGGAATGTTTCTGAACTTAGCAGGTACCTTGGGCGCATCCTTTCGACCTCCTGGTGACTTCTCCTCGTTGAGAAGACGTTTCATCTGTGATCATATATCTGTTTAATCAATCTTTCAATTGAAATACGAAAAGTAATAACTAACCTGTTCGTCGATCGCATTAAATTGCCACTTCCATGTGTGATTATATAAGAAAGGTCTATGATCGAATCTATTATCGTCGGGACTGTAAGTCTCCGCGTGACAGGACGGTGTAAGGATCGTCATCTTATGTCGATTTATTGCATAGCATCTATAAAAGTGTTTCACTTTATCAGCCACCTGCAAAGAATCCTAGTTTAAGAATGCTTACAATTTGTGGATCGAGATAAGTAAAAGCATATCTACCTCTTTTGGAGTACATTTGTCCCACATATGAACAAGCTTACAAAACATGGAGAAAGGACCAGCGCAATGTTGTTTTCTTAAGCGTCCAAAAGTACCGAGTTCCTTGTACGTCATACCCATGTCCACTTCATCCAACTGTGAAAGTTGCCCTCCTTGTAAAGGCTCTAATTCTGCAGTTGGAGGAGCGTCTAGAATCTTGTCTAAAGCAGTGATTCCATGTTTCTTCCTGAAGCAGGTTCAATAATTATTTATACTTCTATTGAAAATGAAGAAACTCAAAAGAAAATTAGACTAGATGTCAACCTGAAGTAAACAAGGAATGACTTTAAATCATTCTTTGCAATTCCACCTATGGGGTTGATGTCGGCACTGCTACAATCGTATTTAGTGAAATATCCTCGAAGTGCTTCATCAACATTACTACTTCCCAACACGAGAAGACCACCTGGTCGTCCTCTGACCAATAACATTAACTGAGCGAATAAATAAGCTATCACCATTCTCAAACGTGCCTTGAAAACAGAATCACGCTCGCTTAAATCCTGTTTATTGAATAAAAGAACAGTAGTGATTTATTAAAATAGATACTCACCTGTATATTCTGAAGAGCTAAATTCTCCCTGGGAGAACCTCCTTGTACTTTAAATCTTGGTGTTAGCTTGGTGACTTGTTGAAAAATGTTCAGAATAGCAGAGACTGCAAGATCGATGAGTATACTATGATGATAAGATCCAATTTGATTAGCAAGCTCAGCAGCTCGTGCTTTCGTCGCGGCAGACGAATTTTCGGTACCCATGTAACAAGTGACTAAAATGGTATTGCATAATTGTTTTGGATCGGTGGGTACGTATTCGCAGTCACCGACTATTCTCCTGATATCTGACAGCACCTGAACATCTGATCGAACACGTTATTAGATGAATACCAATCCCATATGAATTTGAAGCAACAACACGTACCTCCTTCGTTAACCGAGTCCACGATCATGTTGCACATGGAATAAACCATGCATGCAGATGAAGCAGAATCAACCCCGCCACTTAAGGGTAAAAAAAATCCTCCTTGACAAGAGCGCCTTATATAAAACAAGACAACAAATAAATACCAAAGTCAATTAAAAAACCGATAGCCTAAAATACAAGCAACGAACCTGAGGTAGTCCCATAGCCAGCAAGCAGGCGCCATCGAGATCTCTTCTTCAGGAGTATGATAAACAAGCTTCCTAGCTGGATTGTCATTTTCATAAGGTCCAAGATCAACGCCGAGTGGCCGGTCAGGAGGAGTCGATATCAAGTCCTCAGAAGTAAGAGCAAAGTCAACTTTGACACGTGGATAGCTTGGCGATCTTGCAGCCAAGTGAGAACGCGATCTGATCTGATTCCTGTAGCTCCTGATCGAAACGATCGTACATATTAACTATAATGCTTCCTGATTCACTGATTATTATTATCAAACCTTATATCCTCTAAATCGAATGTCGCTACGATTACTTCTACATCATCGAGGGCAAACTCTTTGCCACGGTTCAATATCTGACCGTTCAGACTGATGGAGGATCCACCGTTAAAGTAGACTCTGGAACCATCGCAACCACGTAAATTGCTGAACATGTAACAACCACCAGACTTAAATGTGGCTGACTTAACGAGGTCGACGGTGACGTATCCTTTTCGAAGCTCAAAATAGGAGCCGCTACCTTTGAATTATAAAGCATCACGTGAGATTAAGTTATTAAAAAGATTCAGGTACTGGTAGAGAGATGACAGCGATTACATTATAACATTAATCAGAGCCAAATTATCATCTCTGCAAATAGTTTTCTTTTCTGTTTACCATTCACAATAATCTCAACGCCGTCCAGGCACGTTGGAATGTGATTGCTCATAGGGTTCCACAGTTCCTCGCAAATTTCGAAGCCCACACACGTGTCTCTGGTGGAAATAACAGCGTCGCCGAATGGTACCACCGTTTGGCCAGTGATCTGTGAGATCATCCTTGGCAAAAAATAATCCTCCACCGTACGTTCCTGTAATAAAAACCAGAGAATGCTTAACTATTCGGAAGGTCGAAATCTACCGATATACTATGCATCAGGCGTTCAATCTAAGAGAACCTTGGTCCACGGCGAGAACCATCTGGTTTCTCTGTAATTCCCGTTCTCGCACATGTGCATCTTGGGTCTGATCAGCAGAATACGACGGTTCAGGAAGGACACCCGACAGTTGTACGTCACATTCTTGTGCATGACCGGCATACCAACGTCGATTAGCATATCTTTAACGACCGGTGATTTAATGATCGTTGCCAGCACCTCCCAGCTGTGGAGCAAGGTGTCCGACTCGTAGAAATGGTCCTCGCAGCCGTAACCGCTGTTGGCATTAATTAACAATCTATTAACTATTGGAGTTCGTATACTCTGGATTCTATAATAAAATAAGCAAAAGCGTTCTTCGCTTCTTCTTCCGTTCTCTTAGAAGAAGTCGAGAAGAAACGCAGATCTTACCTAATTTCCAATTCTGGTCCACTTCTATAAGTAGCGCCAGCATCCTTAGCTTCCTGAATACTTTGCAAAATCCTTCTGGAATTCCCATCGAAATCCATCGCCCACTGGTTCAATGTGCAAACAGCCACAGTCACCGTACGACCCATCGTTAAAATCTTCTCTAATTAATTAATCCAAATAGAAAAATCCACCAAAAATCTATCTACCTGAAACAGAAAGAAAATAATTGTAATGTAAAACCATGTTAAAAAGAGGTATCGGTATGATATTGACCTATCAGATTTCATTGATCGACAAGAAGAAATAACAGTACATCAGTTCTCGAGACCGACGAACGTTGATTGATCAATAATTTTCAACGGCAGAGAAAGGGATGGAAAATTGGCTCGACTGGTTCGTGCGACTACGCGAAGGAATGTCTATGAATGCTTGCAAGGAAATTGCCGACGAGTTCTTTGATTAATCGAAGACCTTCGTGACGAACCATTCTATTATTCTCGAGATCGATATGTCTTTTAAACCGTACACATCAAGAAACAACATGCATTTAGGTTCTTGTGACAATTTCATTACCAATTGATGTAATCAGAAATTAGTCATCTTGTATTGATAATGCTAATGAAACGATGTTAGAATTGTTATTCTAAAAGAGGAGACCAAAAAGTAGTTTATTCGGCACCTTGAAGAAAACACAAAAGATCGATGAAGGAAGTTCAAGTTAGATCGAGATAGAACGACGAACCCCGAAGAATCGAGGGTGCTTCGAACGATCATGAAGTAACTGACTCCGCCCCTGTTTCACCGTTGTCAGGACGATCGACGGGGTAGCTTCCACAGAATTTCTCTTCGTCGAGGGCAAAGTTCTTGGTCACAGTTCGCGCGTTACATTCGGCCAAATGGCTACAACTGAAAATCTCCGAGCGAAGATCGAATAATAAAGACTTAAAAATAATGAATAACACCAGTTCGAGGTACACGCTGGATAAGAGAATCTTATGGATCACAAGTTCGAGACGAGAGAAAGTTGAAAAACATCTTGAGAAAGAAATTGTGAAATTCGATAATCATGAGATCGGCAACGAAGAGGATGAGGGTGAAACGGAAGGGAGATAACGAAAAATGGCTGATCTTTTAACTGGTAGCAGGGTCAAAGAACTACAAGCCATGCTATTTCCGGTGCAACCAATTCCTGGTAAGTATATATTTTCTATTAAAGATTTTTATGCAAGATTAAGTTATAAAAAAATTATCAAAATTATCTTTCTTATTTTTATTTACGAGGGGGTGCGCTAGCAAATTTTAGCAAACTTCAGGAAGTGCAATTACTACAATTAGGACGTTACGATGTACCCCGAAGGGAAACAGAACTATCATTGTTCTCGGTACCATTTGGTACTAGAGAAGATCAATCGAAAGAGACCCTTCGAAACGTGTTGGATTCGCGTTGCATGATAGATGGAATTACTCAGGAAGCTGCGAGGTGGCCGACGGAATGCCAAGTGAATAAACAATTATTTATTAATTACGATTGAAACAGGAGGTGTAATTATTTTTTAAATATCCAGGTACTTCCAGAAAGGGTGAGACACATAGAATACACACGAAACATTCCAGAGCCATTTTACATGGCAACCGGCAAGGAACCACGACCAAAACCATTAGGGGACGAATTTGGATCCGTAGTATTCCGTTATTACCCCACAAGCATCACTAACTACGTTAGTTACAATTCATTTTTTATTTACTATTTCTCGTATATTATAATTGATACATTTAACAATCTTTAGTTCAGCAGATCATGCGTAGGAGGGAGCACAGTTTTACCATTTCCATCAGAATTTTCCACAGACTCCAGTGGATACGAATCAAAGGAAACTGACAATAATAACTTGTTCTTCGTAGCCAGATCTGATACAACAGACAGCAGCAGTGACCTGCATTTCGAATCACGTTTCGAGTCTGGAAACCTCTGTAAAGTTGTCAAAATCACTGATACGTATTATCAGCTGTATCTGAGGAAGGATCTTTATACTCAGAGGCATACACAGTGGTATTACTTTAGAATATCAAATACAAGGAGTAGAACCACTTACAGGTGCATATACATCTTCCTTGGTCATTTATTAATAGAGATCCTGATGGAAAAATAATAATTACAGATTATCTATTGTGAATCTTTGTAAAGAAGAAAGTTTATACAACGAAGGTCTGCGACCATTATTGTACTCGACAGAAGATGCCAAGCAACGTGCCGTTGGGTGGAGAAGATGCGGTGACAATATTGCCTACTACAGAAACGATTCATCGTACGTTGATATCCTCACACAAGTTTCTTGTATACTTATATATTTTCTTTCAGAAGCGACGAAGAGAAGGAAAAACATACGTTGACGTTCAATGTTTCTTTCCCTCATGATAGAGACACAGTCTACTTGGCACATTGTTATCCTTACACCTATACTGATTTACAGGTGAAATTTATAATCTTGGTACACCATATATAAATATGATTTTGGTAATAATTGAGACAAACTTGTCAGGAGTACCTCGCCAAACTTGTCGCTGATCCAGTGAAAACAAGATTCACAAAACTGCGACTGCTATGTCGGACGATAGCTGGAAACGGAGTCTACTATTTAACAATCACTGCCCCTACTTACGATGAAGAGATGCGAAGGAAAAGAGGTATTGTGATCACCGCAAGAGTTCACCCGGGTGAAACACCGTCCAGTTGGACGATGAAAGGAATCATTGACTTCTTAACTGGGGAATCGGATCAAGCAAAAGTAAACGGAACTCTGTAGGACAGAGTAGAAATCTTCTCCTCCTCCACTAAACGCCTACAACTTCTTATTCCAAACGTGGGCAAGTTGCGTTCCTATCATTTATAAGAATATTTTTCGATCGTGTAGGTGCTCCGAGAGAAATTCGTGTTCAAGCTGGTGCCAATGTTGAACCCAGACGGCGTAATCGTAGGCAACAATCGGTGCTCGTTATCAGGAAAGGACCTTAACAGACAATACAGAACAGTGATGAGGGAGAGCTATCCTTCGGTCTGGCATACGAAATTAATGATTCGAAGACTACTCGAGGAATGTGGGGTAGCCATATACTGCGATTTACACGCTCACTCGAGAAAGCATAATATATTCGTTTATGGTTGCCAGAGCAAAAGGACCAATTCGCAAACGAGGCTCTCCGAGCAGGTTTTCCCTCTGATGCTTCATAAGAACGCTGCCGACAAGGTGGACGCAAGTTGAACAATATCTTTTCTCACAGGCATCAATGTGATTGTATACAATTAAGAATTCGTTTGCAGTTCTCTTTTGAAAATTGTAAGTTTCATATGGAAAAGGGGAAAGAAGGTACAGGAAGGATGGTCATGTGGTCCATGGGAGTTCAGTACAGTTATACTATGGAGGCCTCTATGGGGGGATCACAGATTGGATCGAGATCTGGTACTCATTTTTGTACCCAAGATTACGAACAAATTGGTAGAGTTTTCTGTGAAACACTGCTGGATTTCTTTGACCCAGATCCTGTTAAGGTAATCGACAAAACTTTTTCTTAATATCATCAAGTTTTCTTATATGTATATCTGATTCTATTATCTGATTCTTCTGAAAAAGGAGAAACTTCGAAGCAAAATAATTGTTAGGTTGATGAAGGAGGGATCTAGCGCCGAGGAACCAACAAACATCGACTTAACCGATTATTCTAGGTACACTAGTAGTCTCTCAAACTGTTGCGATAAAGTTCTCGCTTATAATTGTTCACGATCCATAGCGATGAAGGAGACACGTCGGACAGTTCGGTCTCAGAAAAAGAGGAAACCTTCATTGAAGGATCCTGGAGCTGCAACACACCACCACCGACTCCCACATTCTTGCCACTACGAACCTTCGAGATGGCGAAAAGAAGGAATAAAAAAGGAATCAATACTAAAAGTTATCTTCGACGCAAAAGGATGCTGGTAAAAACCCTGGTTCCAATACTATGAATATTATAATCTGAAGTCCTAACGACACTGAATTGATGATTAGGCCGGAAGAGCAATCATGGATCTACCTACCACGGATCCAGGTAGTGATTTGTGTGACTTAACGGACTCAGCGGATGAAGGTGTAACGAGAACAGAAGGTAACATTCTATAAATGTCTTGAAGATCAGTTAAGTCAAACATTTATGCTGCTCGTTGTTTAGATTATTCAGCAAGAATTCGTGAAGATTACAAAAACAGAGAAACAGAAAGCAACGAGAAGGAAAGGGTTACCGATAGTTTGAGCCTACCGGAAATAGTAAGACCCAGAAGTGTTTCGTTGGACGAGAATTTATGTGTGAACAAGAAAGAATCAAAAACCAATAAACGGTCGCATTGTCTTCACTTAATCAGGTACATTTTAGTTAAACATTCAATTCCTATTTTAAATGTTTCTGTAAACGTTTTTGATTCATTGGTACAGAGCGTTTAGACATCAGACGCCTGTGCAATTTAACAATCAAGACATACAAATTAAGCTCAGCTCGCTACGACAACAAATATGGATGGGAGTTCCATTGAACGTCGCAGAAAATATTGAAAAAAGGATCGATCATTCATTTGCAAAGGCACCATTGAGTTGGGGAGTTTCCAATATGGCGTCGACACGAGATAAAATCAACAACGACGTGTTACTTAAGTCTGCAAATTATAGTTATAATTTTTTATAATATAAATTATAATTATAATTTCTCTATTAATTTGTTACATTTTTTGTTTCAGATCTTGCAGGAAAAAATTGCAGTCCCTAGAATACATTACTATAGACGACGATACTAAAAATGCAGAGGGTAAATGTAAACGAGAAGAGATAGCATTAAGCGACACTAGTCCGGAAGTTGAGCAGCAACGTCCTAACAGTGACCGGAAATCAAGAAAGAAAAAATCTCGTCAAAAATGGCAGAAGATAGTGAATTTGAATTCTAAAGTTGAAGAAACCAATCGTAGAAAAACATCTTTTTTAACAATTAAAACTGATTCCTTGAAATTAGTCACCCTGGAAATCCCATCTAAAACGCAAACACGACAGCACAAGATCGATACGAGAAGAAAGCATCGAAAAAATCCTGCTCCCTGTTCAATTTCGAACGGTGGAAAAACTTCGAATGTTACTAAGTCTCAGATAAAGTCACATACTCGAGGTCAAGTACAATTGCAACCATTAATCGTTCCTTTATGTGACAGTTCTTCTGACGACTCCAATGACTCTCGTAGGCAAAGAATCTCGAAAAAAAAGCAAAAGAAAAAGAAACAAGTGAAAAAAATTAAAAAAAATGTGTCCATATAAAGCCCAATTGGCAATTTGTATAATATTTGTATTCAAAATATGTTCATTAGGGATAGTGTTTTTAAACGCAACTGTACTATATCTCGTTGAATTAAGGACTGCAATTTTGTTACATAACAAAGATATAACGGGGCGCGTACTAATCAACTAAGAAATAATTTACCAACGTAATTACGATTTTTCCTTAATTCAAATAAAAGAAAGAGAAAAGTTTGTATTTTTTGTGTTTAGGTAAATCAACCGTGCTTTGAGTGACATGCGCGACAGCTATAGCGTTTCCTCCACGTGCTTTTCACCAGATATTGACAAATAATAAATTCAATCAAAACATAACCTCGCAAATTATTTCTCAACACTTTTAATGTTTGATAGCATAACTCGTCACTTTCACTTCGTATCAATTACCAAAGATAAATACTGATAGCATACTTTGCTCGCGGGTAAACTTTTTAGAACAATATGTTTCTTAAATACTTAATTTGATGGAACATACTCTGATACATTATGACATGAATGGTAATTCGTTTTTAAAGGTGATTTATATGAATGATGATAAAGCCCTTTTCACGAATCACTGTTCACGATATTTTCACGAATTTTGAATGATATAATCTTAAAATATAACTCAGCCTTCCAGACTTTACCCAGTGACTACAGATTACAGATCCAACATCCAACATTCGACATGCTCAGTGACTACACATGTAGAAGACTGGACATGCCTTTGTTTTCGAGGGGTCTTGATTTCAGGGGTTCCAGACACCCCCAGAATGGAAAGAGCACAGCCAGTATAATAATCGTGCCTGTTTTACCAATTACTCTTTTACCGCATCTCAAACTGACATCTGAAAAGAACCAATTTTCACTCCCTTTGATTCTATTTTTTTTCAAAGTCCATCATTATTATTAAAGAATAAAGAGTAGCACCGCAGCTTTCTTCTAGTATACGTTTTATCTGCCCCCTGAAAGTAATTAATTAATTATTAGCAATTTTTAGAGTGGTCATTCTTATAGGTTCCAGCCGCCTCCCCTATAAGGGTTCATAATTAATTAATTAGTGACTGGATTCTTACAAAACCTATATTAGACACTCGCAATAAATATGTAGATTATGAATCAATTATAAAAGTTCATAAATTATTCGTAGATAGGCCCATTTTTTGCCGGTAATGTCACTACAAGACCTACAAATCATTAAAATAATTGTTTAACAAATTTAACTTCAATTACTTTGGAAAGTAAATCATTTTAGAAAAGCAATAAATTAGTTAAAGAATCGAAGAGTATTTGTAACTGTTATTATTGTATAACGTTCAATAACTATTTGATAAAAATCAAATTTATATTAAAACACAATAATCACTTCTTAATATTGTATAAAAATTAAATAATTCAAACAAATTTACTGGATATCCGTGTATAAAAGTTATAAAAATAATAAATTTCAACAGATTTAACAATAATTTGATTAATAAACAATTGTAAAATATAAAATAATAATTAAACAAATATTAACAAATATCAGATAGAACGCGGAACCGGTGAAGCGGAACGTCACGTATGATTGCGCGCGCAGCGCCGGTACAAGCGCGACCTGGAGGAAGGTCAAATCTAATCAGTCTTATCGCGACCGCCGAAGGATACGGATCGAGCTGTCAAACATATACCGGTACGGGTTGACATTATGGATATTCGTGCATGGATTTATCAGTGTGTTACCACAAGTGTTACTGTGTGTGGCTATGGTGTTTCCTATAGTGTTTCCCATAGTGTTTTGGAATATTTATACGGATATATTAGCGCGTTTTATGGTGTGGTCACCCATGTGTGGTCACCTCAATTATTGCTGAAATTATGATGTTAATTATATTTTCTATTTCAGCATTTTATTGTTGAAAGTTTTATGTTATTTGTTTTGGGGGGTTTTATGATTTTAGGGAGGTCACTATTTTATTTCAGGAAATTATTCTCCTCATGTATATAATAATCATCTTTTCTATTACAGCATTTTGTTGTTCAATTGTTATTTTCTCAATTATTGCTGAAATTATGATGTTAATTAAATTTTCTGTTTCAACATTTTATCGTTTAAATTGGTATTTAATGTTATCTCTTTTTGAGAATTTTATTGTTTTAGGTGGGTCACTAATGTAGCCACCTCCACGTGGTGTGACCTGGTAATTGATATCGTTTTCTAAAGACAACGTTTAGAAAGCGATATCAAGCTAAGAGCTACAATAAAAAGATTTATATATTTTTTAATTGGGAAACAATAGTTTAAATTCAAAAAAGTATTTTCGGGATTGCAATATTACCATATAGAAAGTTCAACTACAGTAATTTTATAGTTCCTAACAAAGGAACTTGTATGATTTCAGACTAATTACAAATGACTAATTACCTCTTTCTTTTCGAAGTCGGTTAAAAATAAAATAAAAAGAAAATCACAAAATATGGAATCTAGAAAGAACGAAGTTGTTTGATTCGCAATGGTAGAAAGAAATCACCTCTGGCGAAGATATTTCAAGCAGAGACGTTGTACATTGGAAAGGTCGTTTCTTTATCCATGACTCTGGTCAGGCGCCAGATCTCGCCACTGGCCACAGAACACATAATTTCTGCTTCAGTTCATTTGATAGAAATTCGCTACGTTGACTAACAAATATTTATCTTCTAACAATTTTCGAGAGGAATTCATTATTGAATGAAAGTAAAAATTTGCATAAATGGAGGGTGGATGGGATGAGGTAGGACGGGTCTCCAAACCGCAGCAACCTCCTCGTGGTGAGACCTGGGCAATCGTTATTATTTGATGAATAATTAATATCTGTATCATTATTTCTATGGTACATTTATTAATTATGCAACAAATAATACGAGCGAATTGGCTGCGAGATATATAGTACCACAGTATCGATAGAACATCAAATTTTTGTTAAAACTTCAAAGTAAACGTTATTTGCGTTAACTTCAAGACGTTCGTTGAATGATGACCACTTGATTAGCGCCAGTGTCGGTCACCGTGGGGTTATAGTCAGTAGAAATCTGACACTCCACCGCCGCCCTCCCCAGGGGTCCTTACATCCCAGCAACCCTTACATCTCAGTATTCCTAACATCTCTGCAGCCCTTACATTTCTGCATTCTTTTCATCCCTACATTCCCTACATCGCTTCATCCCTTATATCCCAATATTCCTTACATCTCTGCATTCTTTTCATCCCTACATTCCTTACATCGCTTCATCCCTTATATCCCTATATTCCTTACATATTTTTATCCCTTACATCCCGACATTCCTTACATCTCTTCATCCCTTACATCCCTGCATTCTTTTCATCCTTCCATTCCTTACATATCTTTATCCCTTACATCCCGACATTCCTTACATCTCTTCATCCCTTACATCCCTGCATTCTTTTCGTCCCTACATTCCCTACATCGCTTCATCCCTTATATCCCTATATTCCTTACATATCTTTATCCCTTACATCCCGACATTCCTTACATCTCTTCATCCCTTGCATCCCTACATTCCGTACATCTCTTCATCCCTCACATTCCTGCCTTCTTTATATCCCAACATCAGTTACATCCCTGCATCCCTTACATTCCTGTATCCTTTACATCCTTGCACCACTTATATTCCTGCATTCCATACATCGCAGTACCTCCCTGAAATTGAGTTGAAATTTTTGCGGCTATAAGGACTGCGATTTTATACAAATTTAGTTCCTTTTTGCGACACCAGGGGGCGCTGATTCGACATTGAAATTTTAGTTCACATTTTTGCCGCCAGAGGGCCAGAAATGGAGCACGAGTTAGTTCCTTTTTTTGCCACCAGAGGGCGCTGACGCGACATCGAAATTTTAGTTCGCATTTTTGCCGCCAGGGGGCCAGAAATTGAGCATGCTTTAGTTCCTTTTTTCGCCCCCAGAGGGCGCTGATTCGACATCGAAATTATAGTTAACATTTTTGCCGCTAGGGGGCACTGTTTTTTTCGAAATTTTCGCGAAATTCTCGAAAAAATAGCGTCCCCTAGCGGCAAAAACTTACCTTTACTTACCTTTACTCGAAGCAGTCTTTATAATATATCTATTATAAGGGATGCAGAGATGTAAGGAATGTAGGGATGTAAGGAATGTAGGGATGCAAAGAAAGTAGGGATGAAAAGAGTGTAGGGATGAAAAGAATGTAGGAATGGAAAGAACTTAGGGATGATAAGAATATAGGGATTTAAGGGATGAAGAGATGTAAGGAATGTAGGGATGAAAAGAATGCAGGGATGTAAGGAATGCTGGGATGGAAGTAATGCAGAGATGTAAGGGATACTGAGATAGCCTTGGCCTATAATGAGGGATAAAATTATATATATAACTGGAGAATGTAAAATAAATGGCGTCCACGGCTGAGACCCAGAAGAGGGGTATAATCATAAATGTTATTCCCCTTCGATGAGCTTATTTAATAAGCAAAAAAAAATAAATGAAGTAAATTAAATAAACTGCTGAAAAAAATTATACTGGCTGTGCCCTCTTCATACGGACCTGATTTCATCTCGGGGTGGGGTGTTAAGGACCCCGCTGCGCTAGCAATGATCTCTGTGCGCCGATCTGATATCATGTTGGGGTACTAAGGACCCCGATACGCCAGTGACTATATTTGCATACCAATAATACAGCATCCGGGGTGCCAGGGACCCCGAAGCACCAGTAATTATCTCTCCATACCGACATATCATCACGGGGTGTCAGGAACCCCGAAGCACCAGTTACACTGTTTGCATACCGACATTTTGGCATCCGGGGTGCTAGGGACCCCGAAGCACCAGTAACTGTCTCTGCATACCGACTTATCGTCACGGGGTATCAGGAACCCCGAAGCACCGGTGACACTATTTGGATACCGACATTTTGGCATCCGGGGTGCCAGGGACCCCGAAGATCCAATAACACTTCTTACTTACCGACACTACGGCATTCGGGGTATCTGAGACCCCGAGGTACGGGTGACGCTGCATACCGATACTATCCACCGGGGTGTCAGGGACCCCAGACCAAATAGCGAAATATAAGACCTAAAAACGAACAAATCGTGAAACTCACTTGTTCGGACTAGTGATGGGTACAATTGGATTTAGCGAAATATAAGACCTAAAAACGAACAAATCATGAAACTCAGTTGTTCGGACTAGTGATGGGTACGACTGGATCTAGCGAAATATAAGACCTAAAAACGAACAAATCGTGAAACTCACTTGTTCGAGGTAGTGATGGGTGCGACCGGATCTGTAGCGCGTGCACACTATAATTATTTATTATAAAACAAACTTGTAAATAATTTAGAAATTATTCACTCACAAACAATGAAAATGATATATTTGTAAATCACATACGATTTCCAATCAATTACAGTTATCAGCTATTACAAAATCTGTTTATTATAATAAATTATTAAAAAGTTTCGACTCACTACATAACTGAAATAAAATTGCTAATTACAAAAGGAGTTCCAAAACGTTAAAAATAGACTCACAATCAATAAATAAAAGGATAAAATAATAGGCGAGGCACACAGATGTAATAGAATTAACACATTCATGCTTCTAATGAGTTTATTCAATAAGCTAAGAACACAAATACAGTAATTATATATAAAGCGCAAAGTGTTGCGGGGTCTCTGACGCCCCACGATGATATCAAATCGGTGTGTAGAGAGCGCCATTGATGCAATCGGGTCCTCGACACCCCGGATGCCATAACGTCGATATGCAGAGTGTCACTGGTGCCTCGGCGTCCCTAACACCCCATGCCATCGGCCATTGCGCTATCTATATAAAAACGGCGCAAACTATTCGTTAACTTACCGACTGCCGAAGGGTCGGTTACCGACTGTCGGGAGTTCAGTCGATAATTTATTGAGTAGTTTCCGCCGCTTTTGTATAGATGGCGCAGTGATCGAACTTTAAAAATACTTAATTCTAGGCGGTCTTTTCAAAATATAAGTTTATCAAATAATTATTCTAATAATTGTTCCGTCTTGTTTTTGTGTAAATAACGCTGAGGTCGATTTTTGAAATATTTATTTTATGGCGGTCTTTTTAAAATAGAAATTTGTCAAACAATTATTTGAATAATTTTTTATTGAATAAAAGAGAGAGAGTCAATAAAAAGAAAGTATATTCTGTTCTTACATAAAGCTGGCTTAAAGATGCCTGCAAAAATGACTTGGGGAATCAAATTTGTAATATGTATGCACAGGTAAATTATTGAGTCTAAATGAAAATTTGAAATTCCTTTCTTTATAATGTTTTTTTCAGGAAAACAAATCTCTTGTTTAATCTGCCGTAAAATGTTGCTAGTTTAACGTATAATATTGATGTATTGAGTAATAACTGTATTTACTGTAAGCAATTATATATTATAAGTTAAGTTAACGTTTTGTAATTTTTATAATCTATATTATCACCTTATATACATTCCAGAACTTTATGTTTTGTAAATTGAAATTGTCAATGTAATAAGCAATTTTTCTTACTATGTAATTCGTTGTAGCCTATTTCTGAATAAAGTTGATATTCAAAAGATTTAAAATAAATTGAAAATATTTATTGTATAGCCGAAGTACACCTGTAAATGATACGTGGTAAGCACACTTATTGTTAGTTTCGTTTTAGCAAAACGTGTTTTCACGTGTCATTGAGTCATGAAGTCGGGTCATCGAGCATCAACCTGGATATCCGGCTATTGTAAGCATAAATGCACATAAAGTTCTTCATTCCCAAGGAACGTTGTTCGCGGAAATATGAATCGTTTTGTTCAAGGGTATTCTTACGTGAGCTGCATCACTTCCGAAAATTTAACAACCTCATAAATCGTAATAAAATATTGCATAATTATTTCATAAAACTTCCAAAAATACCTCTCAACAACTACGTTGTACAATTTTTTTTTTAACTACACCAAAGAACAAATATACAAAACTTATCTAGCAAAGGTAAGTAATAGAAAATGAATTAAAAATTAGAAACAATTCTTGTTACGTAAACAAAAGCAATAATTCATTGAGGAACAGCTTTCTTATAGGAAGAGAAACGATTCGTTTTAATTTAGTGTGGAAAAAGTTCATTGTCACGGTGGAACTTTTTTAACTTTAACTTAACTAACTATTTTAAATAAGTTTCATGAAATGTCATACGAACGCGTAAGAGTCTGGGACAAATTACGAGGTAAAAGTTGAATAATTTTCACATAAGAGAACGCAAAATACGAAAAAGTATTGTTTGCAAATGATGGTACCACCTGACAAGTGACAGGGGAATGGGTCAAGGCGGAAATACTACGACGTCTTTGATGACTTGACGTAATTTTTGTTACCTTTTTGCGCAAATACAATGAATACATCGTTATTCGATACAATTCTGATTTTTCGACGAATAGAAAAAATGAACAAAACATTATTAATTATGTATTCACGATATTATACAATTCTATAAATTTGGTACTCGTGAATTTGTTTTCTAATTAAACAAAATCTAGTATTATTACCAAAATCATGAAAAAAGTTAACTACCATGTCACCCCTATAGAGATCTGAATTTTCATAGGTAATCCAATTTATCACCGATATCATTAAAAATTGTTTCATTTATTTAAATAGAACTTACCCAGTGAAACTCTTAACAACTCTAGCATATGATTCTATGAATGTGTATTATACAAAATTCGATGAATATGAAGAAGCACGAGTGTAAGTAATTATAAATTCCAATAGAAGCATGTCGCAGCTATTAATTAGTGTGACGAACCTGTGTTTAAGTAGGGGTTGTCGTAGAAAGGCCCGGTTATAAAAGAGATCGGACGAGAGTTGGTAAACCAGTTCGGTGGTGGTTCATCGAAAAGAACTGATCGTGTTAGTGGTACAGATACATAGGTGGGTGACGAATTCTCTTTATCATCTTAGAAAAAACCCTAGTGAATACCATTGTGATAATATCTCTCTACCTTTGAACTTCACAGTGCTGTGATATTGTCAAGTGATCAATGTGACCGCGTAATTCTGCAAAGGAATATAATTATTGAAGAAAATATCATTAAAATTTTCATGTTTCAGATAAAAAGTAACCATGTCTACTGCTGGACCGGAAATAATTGCCGGATCAGTTGCGGCGGCTTCGGCCACCGGCTTCTCCGCAACTACCGTCTTCCTCTCTCTTCTCATTCCTGCGGTTCTTTTATATTACATTTACTTCAGAATCTCCAGACGTCATATGATCGAACTGGGCGAAAAATTACCAGGTCCACCAGCATTGCCCATCATTGGAAATGCCTTAGACCTTATGGGAAGCTCAGATAGTAAGTTAAATCGCAGCCATTTTGGTCTTAACACTTTAAAGAATTGTGTTACATATTGATCCCTATAATTATTTACCTAGTTACTCGTAGTTTTATTTATTTTAATATTGTACTGAATCTGAAATTTGTATTTATTATATACAATTGGAAAGTTTTATAGAACTTAAAAAGAAGCGAATTAATTTCAACTTTTCCTTCGTTACAGCAATCTTCCAAAATATCTACAAAAGGTCCTTCGAATACAGCGACGTCATCAGGTTGTGGGTTGGTCCTAAATTGGTAGTTTTCTTGATCGATCCAAGGGATGTTGAGGTGATCCTCTCCAGTCACGTGTACATTGACAAATCTGCCGAATACAGGTTCTTCAAACCATGGCTTGGAAATGGTCTCCTCATCTCTACTGGTACGTATTTCCAATATATTACATTTAAAAATGTTTAGAGTACCTGAACATCTTTTCCAAATTTGTATAAAAGCTGAAATAGAAAATAAAACATATTTTCACGCTGAGGAGAATGACGTAGGGTAGCTCAGTGAAAGAAAGTAGATGCAGTTCTACGATCGTATGCACTGTTATCGTAACTTTCTCACTGTCATGATAGCCTCTTTTTTCCTTTCCCGATCGTTTCTTGTCCTACGTAACAGAACGTAACACGTAACTGCCTCGCGTGTAACCGCTTCGGTTGGCACGCGTACACTCATTGGCGTAAACTTTCTTCGTCGTTTTCCTAAGAAGAAATTTAATTACCAACGATTATTAGCGAGAATACAGGAAGCGTCCAAGCATACACTTAAAACTACTTTTATCGGCCGTCACGATAGTCATCAGTGGCTGACAGAAGATATTTAATTCGGTCAAGTAATTATTAGTAAATTGAGGCATTACATTACCAATTAATTTTTTTATTTGTCCTTTATAACAACCAACGTGAATTTATAAATGTTTACGTCTATTGTAATAATAATAGTATTTATGCGACAATGAATTCCATCTGAAATGTATTTCGCTCGGCAGAGACGCAACTGGAAAGAAACTTGTCGCGAATGCTTTCGATTCCCTGCTCTTTCTCTATCTTCTTATGTATAGCAAAACAACTGTTATTTAATCGATGACCCTACTGCAGCTTTCTTCTAGATACGATTTTCCTCGAAAGAAGCTTGTTTTCACTAGCAAACTCTCTGTCCTTGTATAAAGCCTAATTCTTAGAAGCTAGAACTGAAGAATCTATTTGAGATTTTCTGTACAATATCATTTGATTACAGGTCAGACATGGCGTACTCACCGCAAACTGATCGCCCCAACCTTCCACTTGAACGTATTGAAGAGTTTCATCGACCTGTTCAACGCAAACTCCCGAGCCGTTGTCGAAAAGATGCGCAAGGAAGGAAACAAAGAATTCGATTGCCATAATTACATGTCTGAATTGACTGTTGAGATCTTGCTGGAAACAGCTATGGGTGTCTCCAAATCTACCCAGCGCAGTGGATTCGAATACGCTATGGCTGTGATGAAGTACGTATTCGTTTTTCTTTCGATCTTACGCAAACGCTTTCTTCCTTTAGAGAAAGTTTGTTAATATTTCAAATGCAGCTCTACAGTATATGAACTATAACCAACGTTACGTAACAAGGTGGATGAATAATTTTCATCAAGCTGCTTCTCTTCCACTAGTTACTCGAGGAAGTTGGTTCCATCAAATTGCTTCCAAAGGCATTCCCATATTTCTCCGTCTGGCCGAATCCCTGAAACAAAACAATGTACCCTGTAACAATGTTCAAATCATATCCTTGTTTACAGAATGTGCGACATCCTCCATCTCCGTCACACGAAACTCTGGCTCAGGCCCGACTGGCTCTTCAATCTGACCAAGTACGGTAAGGATCAGATCAAACTACTCGAAGTTATCCATGGACTGACCAAGAAAGTAATCCAACGCAAGAAGGAAGAATACAAGAGTGGAAAACGTAATCTCATTGACACCAGTTCCCAGAAATCCGACACCAAGGTAACATCCGGTCAATCTACATCCATACCGTTCCACGTTCGATCTATTCATCTTTCATCTGTGTATTTTAGACCACCTCCGTAGAAGGTGTTTCATTCGGTCAATCAGCCGGTCTTAAGGATGATCTCGATGTTGACGACGACGTTGGTGAGAAGAAGAGACAAGCTTTCCTCGACCTCTTGATTGAAGCCGGAGAAAACGGTGTAATTCTTAACGACCGGGAAGTCAAGGAGCAAGTAGACACCATTATGTTTGAGGTAAGATGTCAGGGATTATTTAAATCGCTGCAAATCAATTTTATTGAACAAGTAAAATGAATGAAACCGTATTGTTTCTCTAAAGGGACACGATACCACCGCTTCCGGATCCAGCTTCTTCCTAGCCATGATGGGCTGCCACCCTGACATCCAAGAAAAAGTGATCCAGGAACTCGACGAGATCTTTGGCGACAGTGACAGACCCGCCACCTTCCAGGATACCCTGCAAATGAAGTACCTCGAACGTTGTCTGCTGGAAACGCTTCGCATGTACCCACCTGTACCTATTATTGCCCGTGAAATTAACACAGATGTAAAATTAGGTTAGTATCAAAGATTTTAGAAACTTGCATCCTACTGAAATTACCTGTATGTACTTCTGTTAAATTAATATCCGATGTCATTTATACAATTGCAGCATCGGGAGACTACACCATCCCAGCTGGCTGCACAGTTGTCGTTGCCACCTTCAAGCTTCACCGACAGCCACACGTCTACCCAAACCCAGACACCTTCAACCCTGACAATTTCTTACCAGAGAAAACCGCCAACCGTCATTACTACGCTTTCGTGCCATTCTCGGCTGGTCCACGATCATGTGTCGGCCGAAAATATGCCATGCTCAAGTTGAAGATAGTTCTGTCCACCATTCTCAGAAACTTCCGCATCAGATCCGACATGAAGGAATCCGAATTCAGGCTACAGGCTGATATTATTCTGAAGAGGGCCGAAGGATTCAAGGTCAGGCTCGAACCAAGGAAAACCGTAGCAGCCACCGCCTAAAATTACAAAGAAACACAAAATTATTACGTAAAAATGTTTATTTAAAGGAACAATAAAATTGGTGGTCTTTGTGGCGTGTTGCGCAGACGGTTCGAACTGTGCTTCGTCGTCTGCGCATGCGCGGTAAGCCTCCTTTGGATTTATATTATTATGATTGTATGTAAATGTTGTGTATATTATCGACGGTCGTATAACGCGTATATAGTTGTATTTTACTTCCTACCTTAATATTTATCTTGTGCAATAAATTATGCAGCCGCTGTGTTGCGAAATAGACAACTTTTTTATGATTCAATTACCCACCTTTTTCTAGTCAAAGGTTAAGAAGTTACGAACGACTACCTATAGAGGGCTATACTTCCGGTTCACGGTTTGAAACTTCGATAATTTCACTTTGATTGTGAGAACAATGACGACGAAATACGATGTTATTGATTTCTTGAAAAAGGATTATAAAAAATGGTCAAATAATTCGGCCTGCAGTGACGAATGCATCATTAATCATTCGAGAAAATTAAAAACTTTACCGCAAGCCGAATGGTATGAAAGGCATAAGGTCATAGCTGATTTAAAAGCTGCGTTACCGGATATAAGTCCTAGAAAAGTGCGAAGGTTAATTCGAAAATATTAAAAGAAAAAGACTAACTCGAATACTTATCACAATTTGTAATTACAATCTTTCAAACAGACATTGTATACCATACCATGAGGCAATTCTTCTTGAACTTGAAGAACAGGGTTACAACGAAGCGTTTTATTACATGAGGGAATTTATAAATTTCGATAGAAAGATTGCAGAAAAAACCACTGGAACCAGGACATGGAAAAAAATATGTTTAGAAAATCGAAAGGATTTTATAGATCATTTAAAACATGGATTGATGGCATTCGAGGATGCCGAAAGGGAAGGTATCTCAAATAAACATATTTCACCATAGATATACGTATCGATTGATAATCATTTTTCTTCAGGTGATTACGTTACACGGGCTATGTCACTGCTGGACGTTGCTCTATTTTTTCAATCGAAAGGCTGGGAATGGAAGTGGGTCACCGAGCGCCTTTACCAAGCTGCCCTTTTTGCAGCGGAATCGATCGAAGACGATGAGCTACGAACAATCACTCTGATACGTTATTTGTATGGTCGATTTCTCTTTCAAGAATGTTGGTAACAAAACTTTTAAATTATTCCTTACATTTTTGTGAACTACAATGATACTTGTCGAATTTATCAGTGAAGAATCCAAAGAGCGCTATAGATTACCTAAAGGAGGCACGCGAAGCATCAGAGAAAAAGACATGGAACGCTTCGAAAATATTGGGCGAAAGACAACGTTGTATTTTCATAGAATGTAATATTATTTTGTACAAAGCTCTGTTGATTCTCGCTCGCAAAGAACGTCCAGAAAATCCTGATTTCGCTCTGAATGCGTGCATCGAAGCATTAGAAAGAGCCACGGATGGTAATGTTCTTTTCGTCATTGTTCAATTCGATAATCAGTATAATTGAATGTAACTGAAATGGAAATAATAGCTGGCGACAACGAGTATCTAACTGAAGTTTTGTACGAACTTGGAAAAAGTTACTTCGCGAAGAACGATATGATACGAGCCTTGCAAAGTTTCTCCAAATTTTTGGCCATCGCGAAGAGGATCCCAGATCCCGAAGGTGTTTGCAACGGTCATATGGAACTAGCATTTACTTACAAAGTAATCAAATTTCTCAAAGATACATAAGCAATCGAAGTAACAAACATGCATATTTTTCAAGGAATTGGGGGACGATGCTCATACTGAGAAACATTTGCATCTGTGCCAAGAAAACGCTGACAATTTTGATTTTAGAGAGAAGCTGGCTGATTCGCACTATTACATCGGTGAACATTACTTAAGCCAGGTATAAATAAATGCAAATAACGTCTGGTAACATTGTTGAGTAATGATAATAATGGTAATTTGGGCAGGGAAAATTGAACTTATCCACTGTTCACTTGGAGACCGCTTTGTGCATATACCATGAACTTAGCGCATCTCAAGAAGCTGATCGTGCTAGATGCATTGCCGGAATTTCAAAAGGTTTCTCTTACAATTTGCAAATATCACGTCGATAAAAGACAAAATTTATTTTTAGCAGATTCAATAAAACAAATACATTTAGAAATACGCGCTTACTAGTTTATTACAGTGTTCCATTTTACAATGTAAGAATGTGTAACAGGCGTGGGCTAAGTGGAAACGAACATTTACCTACATTAAAAATACAGATGATATACACGTAGAAATTATAGACGTTTTCTTTTCCTTTTTCTCGATTGCCTTACACCTAATACGTTAAAATAAAATTGCATGATTGTAAAACGTAATATCTTTCCGCAGGGCAAGAGATAATCAAGGAATATTACAATATATTGTTACAATGCGGCGAATACGATGAAGATGCTACATTGAAAATTTGTCGATGGAAATGTTGTAGGAAAAACTTTTGGGCCAAGAGAATAGAAGGTGATGATAAATTTAAATTTCTTTCTTATAATAATTACGACCGTAATACATACACAAAGTATGTTTATGAATTTATATATTTTTTAATATATGTACGCCTGTGAACATATTACATATGTTTCGTTCTATTATATTTACACAATGTATATTTCTTTACTTCAAATTTCAACTGTCCATTGCATTACTATGGTCGCTGTTTCTCTTCATTTTGTGCTAAACGTATTAATAATTAATATTTTCTTAATTATATTTTTTAATGTAGAAAACAAATAATATTAATGCTTACCCATGAGATTTAATAATTCTTATTTATATTTTTATAAATTTTCATGTGTAATATTTTTCTTTTTTTTAATTTCTATTGAATCAAACTTCTTGATTCTACAATGTATACTGATTCCCTTAAACCTTATAAACATAAAATACATGAACATACCGCTTGTAAATAGTCTTGTTCTCTGTCTTTTCATACATCCACCATTTAATGTTGCAGACATTAAATCAGATTTGGATATCTCACACGAAAATTCACTGGATACAATTTCATCGTTACTATCCGTATAGAACAATAATAATCAAGACATGTCATGGCCTTAAAGTTCACAGGCAACAATTGCGTTCCACATCATTTCTTGTCACAAGTAATTCTCGTTTCTTACTTCAATTTTATTTATGCAACTTTATCTGTCTATCTTCGCAGCAACGCCACAGTGCTTTCTTTTGTCTTCAAACTTATTGGGGCTTGCACAAAAACAAACTTGTCGGTAAATTTTTAACACTTTGACAACATTTCATAAATATTCTAGATTTAACAAAAAAAAAAAAAAAAAAAATAATAATAATAATAATAATAATAACAAAATTTTATTTGATAACATCAATCTACATACAATGCAAAATTGATATTTTTTAAAATAAATAGGAATGATAGTCACCAAAGTGTTAAGTTTGAAAAATGTTTCAAAATGGCTATGAGGAAAGTATAAATATAAGAAACGATGATATATCTCATCTACATACATCGTTAAGATGATTGATACTGTTTTGTAGAGTAATACATAAACAAATATGAGTTTCTCAATTCTTAGTCCATAAAGCCAAGTTAAAATCAAGCAAAATCTATTTGAAGTATTGAATTGATGAAAGCTAAGTTGCAAAGAAATCTATAAAGATGAGTAATTAAAAGAAACAAAATTAAAACATTAAAAGTGTAACACAATAATCTAAAAGTTAATTGTACTAAGAAAATCGTAATGAGTCTCTATCTTCTTTCTGCAATTAAACTACAGATAAAAATAATTATGCATTTTTTCTGTGACTTGCAAATATGAAAAGTTTGTACAAAACTTAACAAAGCAAGTTACTTCTAATTTTTTTTTAGTCTGAGATAATAATTTTTCGACAGTAAGTAAAGATGAAGTTAAAAAACAAAATGAAAAAAGAATCATTAAAATTGCATATAAGTAATGCCGATTAAGTAAAACTTATTTTAAAAATCAAAGTAAATTTATTATTGTTAAAGTCTATTTATTTCGTAGAATTAATTGCCTGTGCGGAATACTATAATCATGTGAATGTGATCTAACAAAATAAGAGGTGTAGGAAATTTAAAAATATAGAAATTAATCAGAAGCAAAGATATAGTGACTTGAAAATTAACCGCCTACATGTTTCATCATTTGATCAGATATTGTAATTTTTAGAAATTGAACATTATTCGCACAGTCTTCGTAACACTGCTTAAAAAAAATTATGTTTGCATGTTTTCCACATTTGTACCGTCTTAGTAAAATAAACTACAGAGGTTATTTCAATCCATACAATTTTTTACCTTCATCTCTGTTTCCTACCTGTGTATAATTATACGTCTACATAATTTACATTAAATTTTTTATAGAAAAATGGTGATAGATGTGTTTACAAAAGTTCTGTTAAACATACAGTCATTCCTACGAGATTGCCACTGCAATCATAGTAGTTTACTTAGTAGTAAAAAAAGAGTTTTACAGCCGAAGCATTATGTACTATTTTGGAACATCCTGTTTTTTAATGGAAGTAGGATAAATACATATAATGCAAATTATATCGTGTTTGGTCTGATTTTTATCAGAAGAATCTCAAGAATTACGAATTACTAAAGTGTCAACTCACATCAAAAGAACTGCGGCGGGTATCGAGTTATACTATTTAACATACTTGACTGGCTCCAGCAAGAAAAGCATAGGCGCAGGTCTAGACGCAGTGGCAATAAGGGAATGAGACCACAGTGGCAATCTTGGCGGAAGCGCTGTATACCGTTTCACTTTTCAATTTCAGTGCCATTTTATTCAACATACGGCATTTACACACTGTTTTGTATTTCACGCGATATGTTCTCTACAGTTTCTGCCTCGTTATAATTACCTTCCTCGTCTATTTCAATAACATCATGTCGTTTCTGAACCACAGCGCTTGCCAAATCGATAACCTCTTGTAAAACCTCTGCCGCCACATGAACGCATTCATTTTGTTCTTCTTGTTTCGACGCGTCTGATTTTGAGACTTTTACGTTATCGGGGTCACTATCTTTATCACCAATTGCGATGCTTTTCTCTAATACATCTTCTACAATGATAGGTTTACACCTGTCAATAACAATAGTAGTATTTACTTCAACGGTTTGATCCTTGTTACCCTCAGAGGATGTCCTCTTTTTAATACGTTCAGATGACTTTTGTTTATTAATCTCTACCTCTTGTACGTCATCCTCTTCAACTTTCTTCTCAACACTGTTACATTTATCGTCTTTAGTACGATCAATATTACCGTTTGCAGTGTCATTATTAGAATCCTTCTGAGACCCTTTGTCAGTCAAACCTTCACTCTCATCCCATATCCCTAAAGATATTATTTCTTCTTCGCTACTGTCTTTTCTTTCCGTTCTTGTAACCTGTTCATTCGTATTTTCATCTTTCTTTTCATTTTTGTCATTTACCTCATTTTCATTTTCTTCTGGGTTTTCTTCTTCCTTATCCTTTTCTTCTGGGTTTTCTTCTTCCTTATCCTTTTCTTCTGGGTTTTGTTCTTCCTTATCATTTTCTTCTGGGTTTTGTTCCTCCTTATCATTTTCTTCTTGATCTTTCTCTTCCTGGACATCTTCACTGTCATTAGGTAAAGCATTCTGCTTTTCTTCCTCTTTATCTTCAACATTATTAACTGAAGTATTATGTGTTTTTTCTGACTGTATATTTTCTTTTTCCACAGATTCAATAGTATCGTTGTTATTATCGGAACTACTTCTATTTTGTTCTTTATCTTCAGCTTCGTCTGGTGTCAACGAGTTTGTTAAAACTGTATCTGTTATTTCCTCTTCCTTCTGTGATTCATCAGTTTTCTTCTCGGTTTGAGTACAATCGTCATCAGATTCCTTCATAACAAGTTCCATATCAACAGCATCTTCCATTGCTTCCTTTTTAGAATAATATGATTTATCTTCCGTATTATTTTCAGTTAAATCGTTCATATCTTTCGCTGGCTCTTCCTCATCGTCATCTACTCTAATCGGTGCAGCCTCGCATTGATCTTTACTCTGTTCATCTGTTATTTCATTTGTATCTGATACCTCTTTTGCTACTTCTTTATTCTTCACTTTTATTAATTCTATTTTTGGCTGCTTGTAATGCGTCAATTTGTGTGTCAGTCCCATAAGTTTATTCTCATAACTGGCTCCACACTCGTCGCAAATGTATGTTGTTGTGTCAAATACGACCTGTTCAACATCAGATTCAGAGGACTGTGATTGTTGAAATGTTTTTGATTGCTTAATATATCTTAACTGTTTATTAAAAACATTTTTTGGTGTTTGCTGTGATGTATCTTTTTTCGAGATCTTTTTCCTTTTCTTCTCTATCGGAACAGGCGAAATACTTGCAAATCTTCGCTTCTTCCTTGGTACAGCGTCCTCATTTGACGAAGATTCATCAGTTAACTCGAAACTTTTTATTACAGCATTACCTTCTAAAATATTTCTTAACTTCATACGATTACGTTTCCTATCAACATCCGCATCGGACAGTGAAGCGCCGGTTGCCCGCTTTTGCTTAGTTAGAGTTCTTCCACTCCTTCTCATTATTAATACAGAAGAATCTGAGTCAACGTTTTGAGTAGCAGTTGTTGCTTTTCGTTGTCTTGTCTCTTGTGGGCTGGGTTTGGACTCCTTAGAGTCTAAAATTGAATCACTTTCTTGTTTTGCAGCAACTTTAGATCTTTTAGGCAGAGTAGGTTCATTATTCGTTTGCTTGCTGTTATCTTTCACGTCCGAGATAGAACGTTTCTGACTTTGCTTGCTTACACTGTTTCTCGTATTATTACTTATACTATCAGATTTACTTTCATTCTCTACATTTTTATTCTTTGCAACATAGGTCTTATTACCTTGGTTACCCTTGTTAACTGTGTACAATTTTTCTGTGTTTTTCAACACATCTTTTAGAAAAACTTTACAAACTTTAGGTTCTGTAACATTTTGGGGTATTTGATTTTCAATTTCGTTTTTATCATGACCCGACTTTTCCCAACATTTTTTACAAATACTAGTACTTATTTTATGAATTTTGTACATATCATCTTCAATTTTCATTAACTTCTTACACTTACCACAAAATTGCCTTTCCTGTTTTTTATTCGATTTAGTATTATTACCTGATTTATTATCTTGAGATCGCGTACGCGTTATTATTGTAGTATCACTACTAGATTCTTGCAGTTTAGGTAAAACGGTTCTGGCAGATTCAGTAATTGTAGTTTTGCGACTTACCACAAAGGTTTTTATCTAAAATAATAAGAATATCAAAAAATACAAATTCCATATATAACTTATTATAATATAATCTATAATAAAATGTTACCTTGGGCATATTTACATAGTCCACTTTTTCATTAATTATGTCATTTAACTTGATTGCAGTTTCTTTAGATAGATTTTTTAAATCAAACAGTACATCCAATGTGTATCGACAAGATAAACATATAAATTTCTGATCTTCCTTAAAACTTTTCAGCTGTTAAATGCAATATAATATAAGTATTAATAAAATAGTGTGTTACAACTAAGAATATAATTAAAATTTATATTAATGTATTCAATATTTCTTACATCATAATCAAAAACTTTTTGAATTTTGTCAAATGAATTGTGTTGTAAGCTTTGATCTTTGCTAAGATCAAAGACTAATTCATTTCTTGCAGGTCGATAACATAAACTGCAGCAACGTTTGCGATTCAGTTTCTTTTGTTTTGTAGTATGTTTAAATCTTTGTACAAAAGAGCTACATTGGTTTAATTCATATACACATTTGTGACAAAGTTTTGATGGTAACTGATCTTCTGTGAGTACCTATATAAATATGAGATAATTTATATTAGATATAATATAAATAAGGTACAGAGATAAATCATTAGAATATAATAAATTTTATTGTTATATCAATAAACTACATTCATAATAAACTGAGGAAACTATCATTCAATCTAAAAATGAGCTTTCCACAAATAACCTTCACATTTGTAAATTATCTGACAACTGTATAATGTATTGTATTGATGTTAAATAGAAAGATTTATTAAAGAGTTATTACCGAAAATAACAGAGTGTTTGTTTTTATAATTAATTAAAACTTTAAGAAAGATGAAATGAAATACATTCTTGTTTATATTTGCATTACTCAATGAATATAGAACGTATCGATATATATGTTTAACGTAGATTTAATCCAATTAAACTTTATAAAATTGAATTCCAACAACTAAATGATTTATAAATATATGAAAATATATAGTTACAGTACCTCAACGAGCGAACAAATCTCAAACTGTTCATGAAATACATGTTTGTTGTCGGATGTAATATCTAAAAACACTCCTTCATCGCTTGCACAAAGAACACAACACTGTCTTGGCATATTGATAACAAAAATTACTGAACAAATGCAAGTGTACCAAGAAAATTAACTATAATTAAGGAAACTATTCCAAAAAAGTTTAACTCTTTCAGCGGTTAAGAAACACGCAACGAATTCATTGCGACGCATTACATTGGCGGTAAGAGAGTAGAAAACCAATATGGCACACGCATTCGATATCTCGATAATCGTCGAGAAAAGCAGGCATCTTCGATTATATCAGTAATCGATTAGTAACACAAACGTTACTTATTGTTATGCTTAAATATTAATAGCATTTATGTATATTCATTCATCAAGGTTTCTAAGAAATAAATTAAGATCAGTTATTTCTCTTCGATCCTTATTTTATTATTAAAGTAACTTTACGATCTTCAACATTCACAGAATCTTTTCTTTTACGAAGTGTGTTTAAACTTTAATATTTTAATGAAATTACATGGTTTTCAATCACAACACAATGTAAAACATAAATCTATTGAAAAATGTTGATAATTCTGTCTAATTTATTGTTCGCGTTGAGTCCATTTTTCTAGATGAGAAATTGAAAATAAATCAAATATAGACTGATTTTCCTCATGAAACTGTTGAATCCGAACTCTTAAATTCTCTAACATCAACCTGAGAAATAAATAAAGATCAATCGGGTTATCAAATATTCTATTTCACTGGTTACATTTCAATAAATGAAATGAAATGGTTTATTCGATCGATCACCTGAAAGATTCTGCCATTTCTCTGGAGAAATCGAGTAAAGTTTGCATAGATAAATTGCTAAAGTCTGCGAAACTTTTTTTAACAATGGCATTGTGCTGCTTGTTCCCTTGAATTATTTCTTCCAATTTCGGTGGCTCGGTAGGATCTTTAATACCGGTCATCGTACTCATTTGCTAAACAAGAAAAATTAGATAATAATCTAATTATTATTAAACTCAATTTTATTCTAAGTAATATCTAATTATTGTGACCAATAATGATTCGCAACAAGGTCGCATCGTCATAAAACATTCTTTCTACCTTTCATGTACACCAATGGTCCTGGTTAATGTTTTACCCTTTAGCGAATTCAAAAATTCCGCGCGAAACGGTATATACATATGAATGGCGTGACGGTAAGGGCTAGAAACACGTTTGGTATTTGTTGCGATCCTACCTCCCGTTTTTTTATACGTCAAGAAAAAGAAGCCAAGAAAGACGATTATTTTGATTTAGAGATCCATTTTTCATCATATAAAATTACACATATAATACACGTAAATTTTAAACAGTTTTAAAAAGGTTAGTACAGACAATCAATAACGAATAATTGTTCAGAAAAATAACGTTAACACTTATTTTTCTTTTCATCAATTAATCGTTTCGTATACGTCATAAATAGACGCACAGGTATATGTGTATATGGTGAAAATTTTCCTAATGTAAAACTGTCAAGTGCGAACACAACTACTACAACTGTCTCTCTTCTTTACTGGGTTTTATTTAAATACGCACACGGTACGCAATACACACGATAGCCGACGGCTTCTCGTTTCTGTTTTGCATGATCTGGACCATCGAGCCTTGATTATTAACTCTACCACTGTCGCAGTCGTCACTGAGTAAAAGTTGACAACGAACGCAGTACAACCTTTCCTGTGCTGCTTCGTTCGGTACCACCAATTCTAAATATAGCAACTCCTTCAGTGACAAATTATTGTTTTCGTCGATTCGGTCGGTCCAACATTAGGACTACTGATCGAACTCGGGGCTGTTGCTATCTGCGCGCTCACAATTCTACCAAGCTGCGCGCGCAGATTACGCGGGTAATACGAAAAATACCTTTAAATCTAATTGGCACACTTGTCAAGCGTCACAGATAATTGTCGACAGTTTCCATGGCAATATTTAACGTAACGTTTACACAGAAATATCTGAAAGTACAACCAAACGACGTAAACGTAGTCAAACGTTATCCTAAGACAATTATAAAATTCGATACCAATCAGACGCTTGATTCGTAAATGACAATTTGAACTATCGGCTTTGTTTTCATTTGAGTGTTGTTCGCGTTTGCGGCAATGTCGCGAAGCACAGCCTCCACCGCCTCTTCCCATTCTTGATCTTTCGAATCTCCTCGACTGAACGAAGCTGACCACTTTAAACGTGGCATTGATATCACCGTCAATACTTTTCTATTAAACAGTTGAACGTATGATTATTTCAATTTAATATGCGACATCCCGATAGTCACCTGAGGTCCGAGTGAAGCGCGGACATGTCACCTCCAGCCTGTTCGCCAAGTCTTCGAATGGTTTCTGCTAACGGACCGCTAAGCCTCTGTAGTCTTCTCCACGATTGAGCGTATTGTCGTCTCACAAGTTCAATGATGGTGCTTGTTAACGCCAGGCCAACCAGAATGTACAGCGTGCAGAGTAACGTGTACTTTGGTTTTTCTGCGTACGAGCGATGATACGAAGCGTAGCTATAATAAATGTATAAACACGGACTACGCGAATATACATACTCGTATTACTATCGTCTACAACATTCTACGCGTACAATAAAAACTACTGCATTGCTTAAAAAGGGCGATTGTTGAAAACGAATGTATATGTCGCGTAACTTACTCGGTACCAAGTCACCGAATCCAATTGTGGTCATGGTCACGAAACAAAAATAAAATCCATCAAAGAAGTCCCAATCATCTTCCCACAACATAAACATACCTGCACCACAGGCAAGGTATAAGAACAGAAGTAAGATTGCTGCCAAAGCTCCTAAAAGAACGTAGACAATTAGTATCGAATGAATATGTTTTGTCTTCACCGGTGTAAATATTTTCAATGCCATTTATGTGAATCATGCGCACACTTTAAACATATCCAATGATGATAGCAACATGCAAATCTCGAGTATAAAATTAGTAACCGCTTGGTATTTCTCTGTTTTGTTATTCGAACTGAGTGGTCGAATTTACCGAGCGATCGCCTTCCGGTCGAGTTGGTCGGAATCCAAGCGAAGGAAAAACGAAACGGAAGTTTCGATTTCACGGCCAAACCGACTTTAACTACCACCTTGGCAAATAACTTCCCCCAGTCGGCTATAACTATTAACGTTAATGGTATTCCGACGAAAGCAAACAAAATGCAGAACATCCTTCCCCAACTAGTAGAAGGTACAACGTTTCCGTATCCTAAAAAATAAAAAGGCACATGTTAGCACAAGAGTTATCTCTGCGTTGCAATTATTATTTGTTACCGATAGTAGTAAGAACAGTGCTTGCGAAAAAAACAGCTTGGAGAATGCTCCATCTCTCAGTAACAATCGGCGGCAATTCGCTCGTGTTTCGATCTGCTTGATCGATTGTATCTGTCACAAAACTTATCAACAGACCACCTTGCGCTGCTTCTTGGACAGCCTCTTCGTAAACACGTAATTTCACGCTGACCTGTAAACATTTATCATTCACTTTAAGAATTATGTGTTCATTGAACGATCACTTACCAATGTTCGTAAATTTGAGACATCAGTGTTATTAGAAATAGAGTTAACGAACGAGTGCCGGTGGATGCGCAAATTGGCGCGCAAACTTTCCAAACGCGCCAGCTCGGCCGGAAGTTCGATGTGTCGAAAAACCTGAAAAATTACTAGAAATGTATTCTAATATTTCGGGTTGCTTAATTCCTCTGAAATATTATGACGATGATGTTTTATGTTAATGAACTGACGTCAGTTCACATATTTACGAATCTCTTGAGTTCAAGTGGTTTACTTCGGATTACACTTTTATAGCCTCATCAATCATTGTCTCTTATGGGGAATAATATTTATAATTGTGTTAGCATAGAATATTTATAACGATATCGTATTTCAATTAAATAAGTTAGTAAATTTGAAAAATATGAAATAAAATTAGTATTCGTAAAAAATTAACAATAGAGGTTAATAGTAATCGCATCCAAACGTATGATTGGTCCATTGCTAAAAATAAAGATACCAATTGGAAATCCAGACTCGCGTTGTTATCTCTATAAATATTGTGTTCCGCGTAAACTCGTGTGAGTGAATAGCTAAAAATTTTGACATTTGTTATTGCATTCCATAATTTTGATCAAATATCAATAACTATGATTTACTTATAAATTTCTTAATTGAACTTACTAAAGCGCCGATCGCCGTGTACAGCATCAAAGTAATCAAAAGTCCGATGTGACCAGCAATTGATTTAACTTTTCGTATATGCTCCTCCCAAAAGAGTGGTCTTTTATCCGTGATTTCGTTGACATTGTTATTTCCTTCGACGAATTCTACGGACAAAGATTTTTTACCCGTCATTTTTAGATGTTCACGTTTCTCGGAACACGTAACTGTGTCCGACACCCAAGCAGAACTGATCTCGGCTCCACTCGAATCCTCCACAACCGCTCCGGTTATTTCCGTATGGAAGAGCGAAGGAAGTATAGTCTTCAAACTCCCCCAACCGGAATTCGATTTGGTCAGTCATTTCTAGAAAATGATCGGTTTAGTCTCTCATTGCGATTCTTATTAAAAAATAAAGCTCCGCTATTAAATGACTGATAAGGATTTTTTTGTGACTTTTTAACTCAAAAACTAAATTATTAATTTTGACCACTTTTTGCAAACTGATCACAGTGGTCACTGTGAGTGTTTATGTAGAATAAAATCAGAGATCGATGGCGTCCTTACGGAATGGTCACACAAACCGATAGAAATCGGAATTACGCTATCGCGCGAGCTTTGAATTCGTGTTCCGCCACATTATCAACAATTAAACACTACTGCTATATTGTGTCCCAACTCTTAAAGTTACTTTCACTGCAAATCAATCGTATCGCTCCAATATGACAGCCACGAAGCGGATGGCGGCCTAGTTCAATGTCTAGTTAGTCCTGATTATCCGCGGATATATCTGATTTGTACGGTACCGAGCATGGTAGACAGTTCCTAATAAAATCTAAAAAGCAAAGTATTAATTTAAATTGACTTACGATTGACTGAAAAATGATTTATCACTCTTATCATTGTTTAATCTAAAATGAAATGTGGCGCTGCTTTTTAAAAACTGCATAATTATGGAGGACGCATAAGCTTGCACAGTCGATAATGTAGTTTTATAAAGAGACCGCTATTGTTATGCTCCACAAAAACTTAAAATAATTAAAAAGGAAGGGCACGCAATTGGAATAGAAATAAAATATATCATTAAGGAATTAAGATCACGTGTACAATGTTAATTGGGAATTAGTTTAAATATTAAATTTAACCAGTAAGTATGGCTTGTAAATAATATGACAGGTTAAAAGATGTTATCAGTAGCACTTAAATTTGAGTAAAAAATCATTATTAATTACAAAAGATGTGGAGAAACGTTAAATAATAGTGTTAGATGTTAAAATATGATTCAAATAAATAACAATCTATGAATAATATCTAATATACATAACCATTCTACTTTATTTATATCAATATTTACTATGTTTAATCAAAATGTATTAAATATTTATATCCTAGCCTTTTTTTAATATCTTCTATTAATATACAATATGTTGAAGAATAAGTTTTGCAGTTAAAATGTTGATTTACCTTTAATTTGTTTAACCATTGTTTTAGGTTGTAGGCAATGACGGCAGTGAAAGTTCATGGTGAAATTGATATCTTAAGACTTCCTGTGAATCAAGAAGAACATGTATTTCCCCCTTGGCTGATTAAGTATACACAGTCCCACATACTTCATTCAAAATGCTCCAAAAATGAAAATGGATGTAATGAGACAGATACTAATATCTGTCAATTTTGCATGTATGATACATAATCTTATATTCTGGATAAAATAAAGCAAGGATGAGATTATATCCTATAATTAATTTCATAGGTTTAGCCGTACTCTAGATTTGCCTCATATGCCAGACATGGTATTTCCAAACAATATATTAACATTAAAACATAAAGATGGTGCTACCTTAGAATTCAATGCTTTAGATGCATTAAAAACTGTATCTAATGGGAAAATTAATGTCCAACTAGCATGTGCAGAAGCATGGAAAGAATCTAGGTATAAATATTTTTATTCTTTAAATCAGTCTTTATCATACTAATTTTCTGCTTAAATACTGTTTTTAATCAGGTCAGAGAGCAGTGAATACTTGGAAGAGAAGGTGAAGCCATTTGATTGGACATTTACGACTACTTATAGCGGTACAATGTCTAACTTTGAAGTTCAGGAAACTAGCGAACGAATTAATATGGATAAATTAAGGAGAAGAGATAAAATTTTGTTTTACCATGATTTAACATTGTTCGAAGATGAACTTCACGATAATGGTATTGCAGTTTGTTCGGTAAAAATTGTAAGTTAGAAAATTCGTTTTAAGTTAAAATTGAAAGAAAAATGTATAACTGAACCGACTCTAATTTCATATATTACTTTAAACAGCGCGTAATGCCAACTAGTTTTTTCATTTTATTAAGATATTTTTTGAGAATTGATGGCGTAATGTTGAGAATAAACGATACCCGTATTTATCATGAATTTGGACATAACTATTTACTGAGAGAATATACAACAAGAGAAGCCAAGGTTGAAGATATACGAGTAAGTAATTATAATACATATTATAACTGAGAGTAACAGAAGTAAAAGATATTATTTTATTCTTTTAGGCCCCACCTACCCTTTTTATAGAACCAAGCGAAATAGCACCATATTTGCCCCTAACTGGAAGTTATTATCATAAATTGATTATTCTTTCAAAGAAAACGGAATCAGTCCCAAACAATAAATTATCTAATGACAAAATGGCTAACAATGACACAGTTAGCACCAGTAAAAGTGAAACAGACAATTCTGTTACTTAAAATTTGTTTGTGTGTTTTAAATATATTACAATCCAGAATTATTAATAATAGAGCATTTACTAATAAAATAAAAAAAGAATTCTTATAATTCCAATGCAATACAATAATTTTAAAATTGTCATGTGACCTTTAAAAACATTGTAAAAGCTTTGATATCATGTGGGTGCTCTGACCAATGAAAGGTCCAAAATTTTTAAAATTTGCTAAACAATGTTTAATACACAAACAAAATATTCACATATTGTTTTATTGTTCGATTATAAATATATACATTTTAAGTAATATATTTTACATTCTTACCCTTATCTTTATTAATACTGAATCAAAGCATCGAGAAGATATCCGAATTTTTAAGAAGTTGATGAACTTTTTTCGGGTGTACGGTATCTTCTTTGAACAACTGTACCCAACCATGAAACTAGTTTTGTATTATATTCAGACTCATCGATGCAAGTCACTGCAGTTGCATAGAAATTCAATTTTGCAACAGACAAATCTTCAAATGTAATCTCTTTCCGTGATTTTTTTCTATCAAGAAAGTCAAGCGAACAATACCCTACTGCATGTATATAATCATGAGGGGTAATTTTTTTACCAAGCAAACCATTATTTGTCTCCAATGCCCAGTTATGTTCTATAATCTGTATAAGATTTAATTGATTAACTTTACATGTAATATGTATTTGAGAAGAGCTTCTTACTTACAGCCATAGTACGTATACTTGTATCAGGTGGATAATAAAAGTTTGGACGTGGATTAGGAAACTTTGATGGACATATTTGTGTCTGCAATCCATTCATATCGATATTCCTTGCATGTTTACCATACTTTTTGTCAATAATACACCTTTTATAACTATCCATGTCAAATTTTCTTTTTTCATAAAAAATTTTAATAGTCCCTGTTCCATCATCAACTAATGAAAAGTAACTTTAAGATTCATAGTTTCTAAATAAATCTATTCCTATATTTACATTATTCATATTACCCTGATATTCATGAAATCTTGCATCCTGTGAGGTGCCTAATACAAAGCCTACTATTTCTATCTTTCCTATTTTAATGTAAGGCATATTAAGGGGATGAAATTTAATACCGCCATTCTCTAGATAAGGCACAAATCTGTTCAACTCTGTTATTAAACAAGGTTCGCTTACCGACACTCTACCTAAAATGATTTATAGTAAATTTTACGTTTGCAAACGCCTTAGAAAACGTACCTTTCTTTTTTTCTAGATATTTATAATTGATCCATTCTTCTTTTTCGGAAAGATAGAATGGAAAATCATAATCTTCTGGAATCGAAACAAAATCTGGTGTTATATCTTTAGGTAAATCTTCCCAATTATATATTTCCGACATTCCCAAAAGATATAACTTAAATATTTCAATAAATTAAATAACTGATTGCTGTAAATAATTAACTACTTATAACACGAAACTTTAAATATAATTTCTAATGCGTACATAAACTTTGGGCACGTTGAGTTTGATTAAAAAAAATTATATAAAAAAATGGCGGTAAAATGTTCGTTACAGCGAGAAACAATATTCAAATACGCTATCTGGTGACAGAAACGGAAACTACAAAGCGCAGTGATTTTTGCGCTTCCTATCGGCAAAATGAAAAACTTCATTTTTGTACCAAACAGTAGCTGGCGCCACTTGTTTTTCCGCTATAGCGGTTTTTTTAAATTGTACCGAGTAAATTTTAAACAACGATTTATTCACAAATGAAGTCTTATATGAAAAAATGTCACTCTACATTTTCGACGTCCCGTTTTATGTAGATTCACGGTCCATCCGGTTAGTGCACTAAATCGGAAACATCCTTTATATGCATATAACTAACATGTTTATAAAAAATTAACTTGAGTGCAATTTGCCGACATACAAATAACAAACATTTATTTTAATTCTGGCACTTTCTAGTAGGTAAGGTCATTTAACCATTAGCGGTAATCATAAATTAACTTCCAGGTTTGTTAATAGATGGCGGCAGCTTTCCCATTTAAATTAAAAAAAAAAATTATGTAAATTACTAAACATTTCTTGCTAAAGTAATTAGGTTTAGATGTCGACAATAAGTGTTGATAACTAAACAGATATATTACTTGTTAACAATTAAGGTATCCACGCGATATCGCGTTCTCAATCATCAACGCTTAAAGATTGCGGCACACACTGAGTGACTATGTAAATAGGTAGTAAAAAAATAAAAATAAAAAACAACTTTGGATATTAATAGGTTAAATTGAAATATGTAAATCACTATTATATCCTAAACTAGTTTCCAGTTTCAGGGCCTCGTAAATTCAAATCAATTAATATCAACTAACATTTATGTTAAACGCAGCGATATCTAATATAGTTATTAGTAACATAAAAATGTAATTGCTTTCTCGTGTATCCTTAACTCGTTAATCTGTAACATACATCGATGAAATAGTTGTGAATGGTAATGAAAACCGATAGTGGTCATACGAAAGTTTGAATGATCGAAGGAATAGAGGCAGCCGAGGTTCCTTCGGTTGGAACCGTAATTGTTGTTACCAGTTGTACTGTATCGCAGTAGACCAACACGAATCAGGTCCCGTGTGCATTGTTCCTTTACACACCGTCTGACCTTGAGAAGGTCACGCCTGTTACACGCACCTCGCATTCCTCGAATCCCCCGCGTTCCATTCTTCGCGGAGGCAAGCTAACTTCGATCAGCAATAACGTTTCATTCGCGACCATAATACTTGCCTTTCATCAATTGAACAGAGCACGTCAATTCTTCTATGGCTTTGCGAATCATCCCGTTTCTCCAATGTTTCGACGATGACCTAAAAGAATAAATGGTTGGTTAGAAAAATTATATACTTTCGTGTACGTGTCATTCACCAATACAAGATTGAAGGGGGTAAGTGATACGTCCATCAATTCAATAGTAAAGAATTTAAAACTTAAACGCCATTAAATTTTAACAGATATCAAGGCTTTCCCTGGATTTTTCCTAGACCAGAGGCAAGCGGTTGAAAACCCTTCCCTTTATACTTAGCCTGCTTAACACCCCTGTACATAGTGTAATAAATAAAATAAAGAACGTTTCGTTTTACGAGAGGTTCGTTCCCATCGCTGGGCATCGCTACCTCGCACGCTAGCACGATGCGTAGGTGTTTCCGGCCGGCTGAAGCACGGGCATCTGCTCGGTCTCTCGGTGAACGCAAGAAAGAGAAAGAGCAATATCGTCGGCGCGACGCGAGAAGAACGAGTAAGGGAGAGGCAGCAGGCGAAGCGAGAAAAATAGAGTCTGCCAGCGGGTGAGCGAGTAGAAAAGCAGGATGCGAAAGGAAGGACAGCGACCGTAGAGGGGGCAAAGAGAGAGAAAGAGAGAGAGCGTACGGCCGGAAGCAGTTACTCGTGCGATGTAACGAAAATATCAGGCGTCCGTTTCGCAATCGGCCTACCCGCGTTCGTCGAGTTTAATATAGAACACTCGCACGCCCTGTCGCGAAAACATCACGCTAACGTCGTTAAGCGTGCCTTCTGCTTATCCGCGTTTATCGCGTTAATATTGAAAATTGTCCTGTCCATACTTTGAATTTTACCGGGTTTCCTAGCTAGGACGCACCTTCTGCGTCTCATGCTATCCCTATAGCGGAATCCCTGACGCACCAAGTGCGGGTTATCCTGTTTACGCGATTAACAGCTTTCGACAAATATCGTCTGATTTTTGTTTAAAGGTTCAAAATGAATAATTTTCGAATGATATTCGACGAGGAATACCGGTCGTGATACGTTTCACGCTTCATCCTCGTTTCACCTACCGCATGCACGAGCAATCAATAAGGATGTTCGTAGAACGACACTAGAAATATCACGCGGTTCCCGGAATATCGCGAGCATTCCGCGAACGTCGCCCTATCAATCTCGATTCTTCACTCGTACAGCATTATTAGACGGTATTTTTGTGTTTCCGGGACGTTGCACCACATATAGGCTGTTAAAAAAGTAACGGCCAAAAATTGATTATTCCTATGATATGGTAAGTGTGATGTGTCATTTTTTTATTTGAAATGAATGGTAAAATCATGGGGGTTCCATGGATGCGTATACATTGTATCAAGAAGGAAACTAGTTTGAAAGGGGGAAAGGGTTAAAGGACGCGTCTGGTAGCTTGGACTTCTTTGAACGTAGCTGAACGAGTCGTCAAGGTAAGGCAAAAGCAAGGCAAAGGCAAAGGCAAAGGCAAAGGCAAAAGCAAAGGCAAGGCAAAAGCAAGGCTGACCAATCTTCCCTCGTTGATGCGTTCGTTCGAACCAAGCGGAAGGGATAAGTAACCGGAGGTAGTGATGAATTCGAGACTGATTTTGAAATCAGTTCAAACAAACGACAGAATCTCGAATTTCTTCCCGTATCCTTCATAGGCATCGTCTAAAAATATTCCGGATTAATTTAATTATTTAATCATTCAATTTTCAATATAAACTTCGCTTTCAAAAATTCTTGGGGGGCTCTAGAAAAAGTAGAAACTTAAGAAAACCGTTTTGATAACTTTTTGGACAAACTGTGTATGTTATAAGACACTGAAAGGATAGAAAAATAAGTATAAAAAAGGATACACGGTTGCCAGTAGCAGGCTATTAATCATCTTTATAATAGTGTTAATGATACAAGCATTGAATCGAAGCCATTGATGATTGGAGAAAGAAAAGGAGGATTAAAAACTGTCTGTATAACATTGAATCGGTTGAAAACTCACCACAAAGGGAATTGAATGGCCATCGCTAACCGGATGAAGCTGCGGGGTGGAAGAGGGAAAGGGAGATCGTGTACAGGTCTCGACATCGAAGGTGGAGTTGTAGGGTGGGGAAGAGGCCGCTTCCGGTCACGTGACAATACTGGACCAGCCAGCCTACCACTTTGCTCTCTTCTTATTTTCGGCTCTTCAACTCCCCTGCTCCCATGGTAACCATCATCGGTATTATCTTCTTCTTCTTCTTCCTTTTATTCTTGATTAACTCGAACTGTCACGAATCGGTCAAGAGCAAGTGAAACGAATGATGGATATTTTTCTTTTCCTTTTTTATTTTTTGTCATTCTATAGAACGTAGTGCCATGTAGGTCATACTGGTATTTATCCATGGTATTTATCAAAGAGATAATTTTTTAAAATAGATGATCGCAGAGGAATGAAAATCTGAAGTAGAAATATTTATCAAAAATTAAATAGTATCAAGTAGAGTAGCAAATTTTATTTTTATGAAATGAGAAAAAAATATCGCTAACTAACAAGAGGGTCAATATATATATATAAAAAAAAATAAGATAAAAAATATATATTTGCTTACTAACTTTATTAACAATTGTCGGTATAAACCTGAATCTACTAACAATTAGATAACAACATGTGCGTCAACGCATTCCTATGGACGTAACGAATTCGCATCAACCGGAAGTAATGGAATTTCAATTCTCTTCATCATTATCATCATCATCATCTTATTCTTCGACCTTCTCCACATCACCAAATATATTATTATTATTATTATTAATATTATTATTATTATTATTATATCAAAGATAGAATGATTATTCAGTTTGAGGCGAATTTGTATCGATCGTCCATCAGGGGGGTTAATACACCGAATTGGTATGTTTCTTCATTTTTATTTTATTTTTACATCAAAAAATTTTTATTCTGCGTTTTTAGTACTGTACGTCCGTGTACACGAAATATATATGTATACATATATATATATCGTAGTTACGTTGATTGTTAACACTTTGCAATTACGTGTTTTTTAAAAAATTTAAACAGAGAAACACACGTTGGATCAATGATTCCATTGTGAAAATTTGGAGAATTTGAATGAATCTCTTTTTGTTTTCTCTTTTACGAATACAGTATTCGTTTGCTTCATGATTTTTGTGGAAATTCAATGGGATTTTTATTTATTTCTCGTTTGGATACTAGGGAGAGGGAAATACTACAATACTGGGTTTTAAATTCGTTTGAAAACAATGGAAAAAAAAAAACTGACGACTAATAACTTTCTTCTGATAATTTTCAATCTTTTAAAATTCTATTTGAAATCTAAGTGAAAATTTAACCCTTTCGAGACTAACCTGTCAATATATCCTATAAACATTTGCAGCGTTTGCTATATTTATCTTCAGTTCTGCAACGTTGAAAAAAGAAAACAAAAATTGAAATTGAAGTGGAATCTATCGAACGATCTCTGTATATTTCTTTTTTATAATAAACGCGATTGCAAAGATCAACAATTCCTAAATTAATCGGAGGTTCGAATTATAATCGTAGACAATTTTGACTGTTCCTCGAACTACTTGCTTCGAATATGTTAAACAAAAAAATGCATAAATATATATATATACGTATGTGTGTATATATAATATTTATATATATATATATATATATATATATGTATGTATATATTTACAAGACATATACAGAGCATATAGAGTTAATATTAATTAAAAAAGAAGTTACTTTCTTTCGCTTGGCGAGACACGCGTGCGCGCACACACAAAAAACTCACGTCTGTAACATACATACACATACGTATACGCGAATAGGTATGCACAGAACGTCGATCGAAGCCTTGATTAACATTTTGCTGATGATTTTGTTATGAAATTTGACGAATCTCAATGAACAGCCTTCGATTCTTCAATCACCGTGAAGAAATTTTGTGAAAAGTATAAAAGATACAAAAGGTAGTTTTACGTGTATTTATAAAATAAAGTATTGATCGATTTCATGATATAAAAAGATGGATGTTCAGAGATTCGATAAATTTACATTTTTTTTTTTTTTTTTCTTAGCAGAGAATGCATTTAATTCTTCTCTGTTCTTCTCGCTGCTTTCCTTCGCGAGGAACGAAGCCGAGCGAGCAATCGGAAGAAAAATCATTTTTCTCATACTTTTCGCGATAGATATCGATTCAGGATGGAGCCAGAAAAAGAAATATTCCGAAATTACTTATCAAGTTTTAAAAATAGATTTATCAAAAGTTTCAAAAAGCAGTCTTCAAAGTCTTAATTCTTTAACCGTGGTATTCGTTGTGATTAATAAAACTTGATAAATAATTAATTTCTTTGTAAAAATACTCGAAAAATTGACTGAACAGGATAATGAAACTTACGTTGATCGAAGAGGCTCGAATATCGAAGATAATCGGCTCGTTGATCGAAGAGGCTCGGTTCTGTGAAACGCGTTTCCTTCCATTCACTTGAAACGATCTAACAAAAACGCACATCCATTTGGCCCGATCCTACGAAACGTTATTTAATAAAACTTGCACGACTAGATAATACTGGAAAAAGAAAAGAATTAACAAAATGGAAAGGACGCTCGAACGCGTGTACGTACAAGTAGAACGGAGCAGATTTCACGCGTGCCCCGATCTCTTCGCCACATATGCTCCCCCACCCCCCAACCCCCCCACGCAATTGTCCTTTTTCCATCTGCCCGCATTCTCGCCGTCTACACACATGCAGAAACACAAACACATACGTACGAAAGTGTACATTCTTACATACGTTCTCGCTCTCATACAGCGTGCACTATCTCGATCTCGTGTCATACAGCTCGATACGACTCCAGTGTTAACGAGTATAAAAGCGTATATATCGTGTACCGAGCGAAGGAAAACGCGAACAATGCTTCTTTTCAGAACCATCTACACGCGTACACACGTACACACATCTTTCCCTTTCCTTCTTCTACATCCCGTCTGTCTATACGTGTGCGTTCCTCTGTCGTTATCATCCATTCTCGATGATTCAAGCGGTAAAGCGACAGGAAACACACGATTTTCCAAAGACTCTGTTCACGATCCTCGTGTCGCGTTCGTACATACACACCAGCACGCCTACTACATCCGAGTTCAAACATCTCGTGTACATTTAGCGTTCGCGTGCCTCCCTAATATGTGAATATCTTTCTATCTTACTTGGCCGATTCAGCCAACGAATAAATTAACCGTAGAAAAAAAAAAAAAAAATTGTTTGCTCTTTATACAAATGTAATATACAATATACATATATATCTATATATAGCTATGCACACGTACGTGTACACGCGTATTCCCACACGCGCGGCTGATTTCGCTAACTTCGTGTACAGGTGCGTGTACCTGGATCGCGTTTTAATATACTTTAGTGGTTTTCATCTAGAAATCATTCTCTCTCTCTCTCTTTCACACAAGCATACTTTTCGTTCATTCTCGTTCTCGAGTTTCTTCCCATTTACTACCTGTGTGTGCGCGTACTATTTATACGTATTTATCGTGTACAGAGCTATCGTCTATACGTAAGTGGTATGTCTCTGTTTCTTAATACGCGTATAATTTCCTCCATCGATTCTTTCCTCGCGTGTTCCCGCCGCCTCATTCTCACTCTCTTTCTCTCTCTCGCGCTCTTTATGGAAGAATAATAAATAAAACACTCGCGACATCAGACGTACAAACTCGTCCAGAACTTCGACATCGTTTTCTCGACTTAAATGCAACTCTTGTACTTAATGCGATTCGCTTTGCTCCCTGTGTTGTTCGATAACCCCTATTAGAGTCCAGCTTGCGGCCCCTGTCCCCTGTGTGCACGACTTATTTTTCAACGTCCAATCGAATCGCCTTGGAAAAAACCGTTTCGACGAAGCAACGACAACGACAACGACAACAACAACGACGACGACGACGACGACGACGACGACAACAACAGCACGACAACTGTACAACAAGTCTGTAATTGTAAGATTGGTCGGTTAGAGTTCCGGGGTAACCGGATCGAGTAACCTCTTCTCGGGGTCCCTCGAGTCGCTGATGTCGTTGGTGATCGGATGATGCCTATTGCCGGCGTTCCCGAGCGTGTTAGGGTTGCACCTGCACCCCTGGGCAGCGTGTCGAGCGTAACAGAGCTCGCACAACGCTACGCAGCCCTTGAACGGCCAATAGCACAACAGACAGGGCATGACGAGCGTGAGGGCGCTGAGACAGGCCCACCTGGACGCCCTTTTGTTGCCGGTGCAAGAGCAGGGCTCATCAGCGCAGCTACCCACCCCTTCGCCGTCGATCCCGCTCGCGCTGCTCCCGTCCATGCAGTGATAGAACAGTCCTTTCACACAGCACAGACAGGAAGCGTAATCGAGGATAGTGTCCGCGGAGCAGAAGCACTTGTTGTCGCACAACCATTTGCTGGGCAACGGCGGTGGTTCCCGGCAGGATTCGCAGCGGCATCGGCCGCAGAAATTGCACATTATCGAGAGACCGGCCGGGTCGTAAGTCCTGGAGGCGAGGCTGTTCGCGGGTTCCTTAGTGAACGAGACGGGCTGTTTCGTCACGGGGTTCGTCGTCGGTGTGTTCACGGAGCCGGCCGAGGCGGCCGCGTTGGTCGCGTTCGCGTTTAACGCGCGGAACGCTTGGGCCCGGGTCGCGTGCAGCCGATGCGTCGCCGCGACGGACGCGTCTGCGGCACCTTTCTGTCGGTGGTGTCTCCTGTCGATCTTCGGGCAATCGGCGACGCCCCGTTTGTCCTCGTCGTAACGTCGTTCCTGATGATTAGCACAGTGCTTGAACGGCGCCTCGACGTACTCGTTGATGGTCCTCTCGCCGTCCGGCCGTGGCACGGTCAGACTCACCTCGCCGATAGGACTCCTTGGCGGACTCCTGTCGGTGGACAACAGCCCCCTAGTGTTCGTCTCGTTGGACGCATCCGTGTTTCGCGGTCTGCTTCTGAAAGTGTTCGACAGAGGACTGAGAGGCGCGGTTCGCAGCGTTCTTGGGCTCTGGTTCGACGGATGCGGCGGGGCGGTCGCCAGGGTGGTAGCGGTGGTGTGCACGGTTGGCAATCGCGGCGGCGGAAACGGCCGGCTGTGATCGTGCACGCGGCCCTGCTGAACCGAATACGCCTCTCCGTCGTCGGTGTTGCTGCCGTCGAGGACGGCGTCGGTGGTGGCGTCGTGGACGTTCGTACTCTGCTGCGAGGAGGGTGGCCGCGATAGCGGCGATATCGCATTGTTCTGCGACATCGGCCGACCTCTCAGTTCAAGTTGCTCGGCTTGGCAACGCGCCACTGAATCCGCGCTACGCTTCCGCTGCTCCTCCTTCTTCTTCGCCTCCAGCTCTTCCTCCTCCTGCCAATCACTCGCGAAATTGACACCACCGGCGATACCTGTGCTTCCTCCTCTACCTTCTTCGTCGCCGCTACCAGCCGATCCTGCTCCTGCTCCTGCTCTGACACGATTCGACGACGCGACCACTCTTCTTGATCCTGTTCCAGATCTCCTTGGTACTTCTGGTGAAGATGGTGATGTGCAACCACGAACCGACAAAGCCGACGACGCTGCCCGCTCGCTAGCCCATTGTTCGATGGCTCTCGGTGTGCCTGGACTCGATATATGGTTGTTGCGAAGGTGCTGCTGCTGCTGCTGCTGTTGTTGATGAAGATGAGTTGATTGAGTTGGGGTAGTATGTGTCGTCTCGTTGATCCGCACTGCCCAGCCCGCGCGAGGTGGTGGCACTCTCGGCAAGGGCGTTCCATTAGCGAGGATGATGCTCGGTAATGCTCCGCGTCCGCTTCCTCTCGCCCTCGCGACACGCGCTTCATCCCCACCTGAAACGATACACAAATCTGTTACTAATTTATTCTTCTCTGTCTAAGGTTTTTTCTACGGGATATGATCAAAGTTTGAAAGCAATATTTGGATCAGAGCAGGGCAGGCACGAAGAAGGATACCGTGTTACGAGGCACCTACCTACGTGGCTTCGAGGTAGGTTTGGCCTGTGTCGTACGTGGGCGAATGTGGTACGAGTGGGCGCGTTCTGTGGCCTGTGTGCACCGGGGTTCTTGATTCAGTGGTCACACCGGCCCACTCGAAGCGCCCACAGTTCTGAAGGAATCGAGCGTGTGTTTCCTTCGACCAAGACCGATCTTGTCCACCGCGAAAGATGCTATAGGTCACGCATTTTCTTTCCGCGCTGACATTTGGAAACTTGAATCTCCAAAATTTTAAGAATACCCCCCGAGATATCTGTCCGTCGTTCTAGAAGGAATACACCGAACGAAATGGAATCGCAATTTCCTACGTTGCACGGAGAATGGTGGAATAATTGGAAAGCAAGCGAATGCACAGAAACCCGATGACATTAAATCTGCCTCGTAATCCGTTCAACGTGCCTCTCGACCCACTCTCGAGGAGCCTACAGAACTGGAAAGAACGACGGCGGCGTTCGCTCGCGTCCTACACGCATCCGCTGTGTAGGTACGACGACGCTTTCGTACGCTTTGACGCTTACAAAACTGTATGCATTAATTTTCTTATACGCCGTTCGTTCGCCGTACGATCCTCCTGTTTAGGAAACGTTTACACGGATCTAAACTCGTCCGTATTCTTCGTGTTGCTCGCAAATGTCAACGATGCCAGTGACGGTGATGCATTTCTAACATTCCGCTACTGTATTGTTCCGTGTCGCACGACACTTTTAATGGACCAAGGAAACTGAAACTTTTATGAGTTCGAAGAGTTGGAACACGTGTGAAGCGAGGCAGATACGCGTGCAAACGCACGAACCAGCTCGGTCCACTACGCGATCGTGTTCGTGAAGAAACAGGCGGCCCATTCAGAGGGTGCACTCGTGGAGGAATGCGCGGGCTATCGCGGACCCGACTGCCATAGGTCAGAGCTTTTAGTCGTTGTATACGGTCGAGTGTAGATAAGAGAAAACGTTTTGTGAGCTTGTACAGCCAAATATCTTTCTCTCTGTCCCTCGACCAGACAAGATACTTCTCCACTTTCCATCGCTAGACAGTTGTTAACCGATAGATAAACCACCCGCTAATGGGTTTCTGGAAATCGAAAATTTTACTACAGTTGTCGCTTGCAAAAGGAGGCTCACCAATGAATCATCGAAATAAGAGAGCTAATAAGTGACCTTGACGTGTAAAATATTAACCCTTTTGACAACTAAATCTTCAGAAAATTATTTAATAAAAGGGTTGTAATATCAAGTATCAATATCTGGTTATTCAATTAGCCACACCTCGCACATTGAAAACGACAGACAGGCGAAAGGGAAGTTGATTGTACACGCGAAGAATTCGTTCGTCACGGTGGAAGAGGTATTCGTGCAACGTGTAGGTCATTCAGTGAATAAGCCTGTCTTCCAGGTAACGATAAGGTAAGTCACGAATCAATTGTGAATCACGCGGTAGGTAGATGAAATGAACAGCCTTCCAAGGAGATTACCACACGCGTAATTGTGACACGATCATCGCTTCCCGCCAATATTATAACCGATGATTACCTTAATGACGATGATACATCCAACATTAAATATACTATGTCTGTGCTTTTACAGGTTTTGTAAATTATGAATGATATCGAATAGTGGGCATTTTCAATTAATTGAAATAAAACAGTAATAGTATTATTATTTCAAGTAGTAATTTACAATCCTAATTAAAAACCATAGATACGTTCGACAGGATGTTCCAAATAAGGTTCACACAAGTCATCTTCAAAAGAGAAAAAAAGTAATTTTTATGTTATATTCCGGTACAGATACGCTTTGAATCGCGGCGGAAATGGTCGCGATAAGACCGGACGTACTTCCTCACCGCACGCATATTTCCGTTCAATAAACTTATCTGCTGGCTGCGGTTTGAATGACATCACGTACCAAACACAAGATTCTGTATGAAAAAGATATGAATGTTCTAGGTATACAAATTTATAATACTTTTTTTACAACGCAATCATTCCTCCCCCTGCACCACTCTCACCGAAGAAATATGGGAAGGAAATCCGGTCAGTTAACCACTTGACTTGAAATAATGTCTCTCACAATCAGAAGCAAATTGGACGTGGTTGAATTTCTTTTTACGTTATTTATATTTATCTGTAATTTTATTTGAAATAGAAAAAGGACGGTAAGAATGTAAGATAGAGGCGTTAATCAAAATGTCAAGTTTAGTAGAATTTCGTTTGGAAGGGGTCGGTTGCTCTGAGAGGGGTCGAGTGAATGAAATCGGTGTCGAAACTTACTGAAAATTCATGGGACTAGCGAAAATCCAGAAAAGAACGTGGGCTCGCCCACGCCGGGGCCGACAGGATCCTTCTCGGAGGCGTGTCTACTATTCCACGTCACGCACGCGCACTAAACACGACAACTTCGGAACGGAGAGTCCATTCGAAGCGAACAAACTGAACGGATCTAGGAACGTCCTCGAATTCCAGCAGGCGGCAGGCAGCTGTTGCTCTCGTCGCCCTTCTCTCTCATCTGTCTCGACTTCGTCCCGCTCTCATTTCCCGTCCGCTAATAATTTCCACGACACGAGCTTTTGCCTGACTTCCGTTCTTCGCACAGCGACACGCGTCACGCGGTTCGACCAATTCCGAACACTAGCTTCCGGCCGTGGGACGTGTCACTCGCATCGTGTGCCGTATGTTTCCGTCGGAAGTCTTCCACTAAACGGAAACACTAATCTGTTTTTCTAATATCCTTCTAATTCTTCCAATAAAACTCTTCGACACTTTATCAACGCGGTCATACTACCGTACATTCACAATAAAAGTTCATTTACTAATTTGTAATGCTGGTTACACCAAAACCTTAGCAATGAATAATAATAAAATTTTAATTTCTTTCCAAGATGCTGTCATTCGTAACAACGTGTTCGAGATTTCAAATTATAGTGTTCAACGACACGCGAGATCGGGATGAATGAATCTCGAGCGAACACCGACGACAGGATACGAACGAAACGTCAAGAGGCGAAGCGAACGCGGTAGCTGCTGGCGAACGACTGACAATGAGTTCCCCGAGAACTAGTCGAGCCTGTGTAGCGGCGGGGCGAGGGGAGGGGGAAACGGCGCCGCTATTGGTCGAGGCGTAAGCGGGTCGCGGTAAGAGTTGGCAGAGGGGGTATAGCGAGTTGGGAGAGACGCCGGATGGAAGGTGGAGGGTTGCGGCGGAGCAAGGGAAGAAGCCAGGACGAAACGTGCTGGGGAGGGAGGGAAAGCAGGAAGAGAGAAGGTGGGAAGGAAGCCATGAATGGCGACAGTCGGATGAGGGGACGGAGGTGAAAAAGTAGACAGAAACGAGCGGGAAAGAGAGAGGGAGAGCAGGAAGAGCCAGAGGAGGAAAGAGGAGGACCGGTCGAGTTCCGTGCACGGTATGCCATCTGGCGATATCGTGGCCAACGACTCGTTCGCAACACGAAGCTTTTTATGAATGGGCGGAAGCTATCATTGAAGCTTTAGATTGAATGAAAACATTACCTATGTCGTCACCGTGTATACCACCGACAGCGTCGGCGCGGCGACAGTGACGGTCGTCGGTCGCCTTCGATGGAGGTGGCAATGCTTGCCGCGGTGTTTTCTTTTTTTTTTTCTTCTTCTTTTTTCTTTCTTTTCTTCCTTCATCGTCCCGTGTCAAACGTGCTCTCATACGCACGCCTCCTTTCACACACTGTGGGAAATTTTTTTTTACCCGACGTTCGGAGGTTCGACGTGCCGTTGAGAGACTGCTTATCGATCGAATTTAACCCTACCCTTCTCTTTACTTACGGCTCCCATTCGTATCTCTTCGGGTCGTAGTGACCCGATGAGCGAAAGCGTTAAATCGTTATACCAATATTCGTTTGACACGATTCGATGGCATAAAAGTATATCTGTTCGAAGTTCAATGTATTAGAATTTCATTTCTCGACCTGTTTTTAAGCACTTATCATAAATCTTAACTCTCACGCGGTATTCAACGCGTTAATATGCAACGATCTAAAAATAAAAGAGCGAAAGAGTTACCGTTACACATATTTTAATACCGATATCATTCTGGAACCGTATGAAATACTGAAATAAGTAAGCTTATTATATAAGTAGGCTTATAAGTAGGCTTATTAAGTAAGCGGGTTGCATCTTTCATCGGGTTTATTTAATCACCTGACCGCGTACCTGCCCACCCCACCTTCCATCTACGCGTATACTGTATCCGTTCTATTATTTCAAACGTACCTCTCATAAATATTAATCGACCATATCCAATAAATCGTGACAGATGTTCCGTTGCTGTCAATTTTAGGTCGCCCTGTTTGCACGGGTCTAATAAAATTTCTCAAATTTCACGTAAACCTTCATAAAAAGGAACTTCATAAAAACGTTAGCTAACAGTACTTTTATCATCGAGTAACGCATCTTGAACCGACTCATAGTTCATTTCACTGTTCCGCCTTTTAATTTCTAGTACGGAAAGAAAACCTGTGAAAGTCGAACGACTTACAGGATGCCGACAACTAACAGGATATACTGCCGAGGAAGGCTGAGAAAGAAAAGTTTCAGATACTGTTATGTAAAACTAACTTACTGATGAATACGTCCGATTGGATTCTAATTCCAAGCAAATGATAATTATTATAAGATCAGCGCAGACCGCGTTTGAAACACTATTAATCAATAGTCCTCGTATCGATAACTGATCGAGTTCCGAACGTACTATTATACCAACGATATGTTGGTCCAACCTATTTCCGTTACAACGTCGATTCAATACCAGTTTCAGCGTAGTACGAGAAGGATCCTTTCGTTTCATTTCTATCTATCTACGTAGAGTCCT